GGAGTTGGACACTTATTGGGTCCCTTCCAACTCAAGATACTCTATGATTCTATGAAGCACAAAATATGTAGAAAATAATATTTCTGTTCTTTAGTCTCAGTGTTCTTCAAGATGGTGTTTTCATTGCTTTAGGGTATCATTCTATTAATTCTTCATCTTTTTTCTACCTGTAGGGTTCAGTTATCCTTCCTACGGTTACTCTGCTTTTGGAGGAATGCATTTCCACCCTGGCACAACAAAGTCCAATGCTGGAATGAAACATGGTAACCCTGAAGATGTAATTCTTGCTGCAGTTGAACTGAGCTTGACTATCTTCTACAATATGAACAGATGTTATGCAGATTTAACTGAAATGTGCTGTGTGGGGAGAGCTTTTCCCCTAAAGCCAGTCCCTTTCCTGGAACCTCCAGTGACTCAGAGGTTGACGTATATTACGTTGCTCTGCTTCTTTTCAGTTACCTCAAAGTCCAGCTTAAATCTTCTTTTTAACCACTAACTTCTGTGAAGCAGTCACCAAATTACCACAGTGTGCTTGATACATTCAGTGCATGTTTGGAGCAACAGCCCTTTTGCTGTTGGAAGTGATGATCCAAGGACTCAACCAGAGAAAAGGCATCTTCTTTTGTTGCCACAGTCTGGTACTACACAGTAGTCAAAAGAAGTAGTACAAGAGTTTGTGGAAAGATTTGAGTAATAATAATGCTGGTCCTCTCTTCCTCAAACAGTGAAATAATTTCCAATCTGCTTGTTGAATATTCTGTAGTTATTTACAAAGTCACAGGGATGAATTTGCTGTCAGGGAAAACAAATCTGATTAATTTCAGTAGATTTCCTAGGAGTGCTTCAGACTCAGATTGATGTTCTTTGGAAGGAGGGTTTATCTGTTTTAGATATGCAAAAGTTTGTCTTTAAAACAGAGGCTGATGAAAACATAATCACTGCAGAGTGTGTTATGTTGCTTCATCTGTCCCTGTGAGTTGGTATCTGTAAGTGTTATGATTTATGAGTGTTTAAAAATAACCCCTATGCCAAAGGAAATTTTTATATGGAGTTCTTTTAGGGTTTAATTATTGCTGGTTGAGCTTTATCACTTTCATAAAAAAAAAAAAGTGGGAGTATTGAACACTAATGGTATTTATTTCTGTTTGAAGAACTGTCAAATAGCACAGTTGAAAAAGATGAAGAGAGCTCTGATAAACAAAGTGGCAAATGGGACACGAAACACGATGTGAAAGTGGAAAGTGTGGAGAAGAATGAATGCAGAACCTCTGGTCACAACGAGGAGAAAGAGGATGCTTCTTTGTGCTGTGAAGATGAAGGAAACAAAGCAAAGTGTGGCTGTCAGGGTAAGTAAAAAATAGGTAGATCATATTTACGGTAGAGGGCAAAGCTGGTGTTAAGTCTGGGAAACTCCATAATAACTCCATAAATGTCTGCTTACGGTTTTGAAAACATGATAATTTTTCTTTGAGGAAGCAAGAGAAGTTCAGCTCTCTAGAATCTGAGATCCTTCCCCATACATAGATTGGTAGATGGATAATCCTACACCTTCGTACTGCCACTGGGCAACTGGTTCTGCAAGGAGGTGAGATGGCTGAGCCTGCTGGGCACATTTAATGCCGCTTCATAATAAACCTGTATGAGGTTCACTGAAAGCAGTGACCATACACAGAATACAACTCATGTATACAGTTCAGTACCTTTTGATTTTTTGGTAGGCTTTAATGGATAAAGAAGGTCTGTGTGATTGTTGTGCAGTCCTTCCATACAGTTCTGCTGTAAAATTGCATGCAAAGTAGCCTTAAAGGTTTGAATATAAAATGTAAACCCTTTCTGTTTCCATGCAGCAAATACCCAGGAAAATGACATTTTTTGGGTAGCAAAACCTTTTGTGCAACCAACCAGTGAACAAAAGGGGAGGAAGACAGAAGTAGTCAGTAGGAGTGGTTCAGCAGTACAGTTATAAAGTGCACAAAACAAATTGCCCTCTCTCAAGCAGCAAGATTTTCTTTGCCTGGGGAAGTGCTGTAGTTGTGTTTTTTTTTTAATGTGAATAACTACTCTTTTAAAGGATTTGAGTAACCATCATCATTTAATCTCATCAGATTAAAAAATCAACAATTGGAGTAGAGAGACATGTTTCAAGCACAGAGAAAAAAAATACCCAGAGAGGTCCAGTGTTCCAAATTTTTTGGATTTTTATGTTGTATGAGTAAAGACAGAATGGCTTAACCCTTTTTATGTTGGATGTATATCCTGAATACAACATCTATTGAATCCAATTATTTAGTGTTAAGAAGTAAATAACAAGTAAAAATGCATCAGCCTATGCATGTAGTCTGGGAACCACAGTGATCTAGAGACTTCATGGATAGCTGGGTTAGCCTTTGGCATATAGAAATTCTTTAACTTATATCACCTATTTCACCTGTTTGCTATTAGTGATTTCTAACCTTTTATAGAAACTTAAATTTGCACAGAATACAGGCTGGTTTCGGGTGATACTGCTTCTCAGAATGACGACTGTGGTTTCCAAGTTTATCTGTTTCATTTTTGCTAGTTTCTGCCGATACAGAACCACAAAGTGTTGGCAGAGCAGCTAGTGACCTCCTTCGGTTACGAGTACCCTGTAAAGCTGAAGAGAGTGCCTCGTTCAGGCTGGGAAGGGACACACAGCTCTGCATTTATTTATTTTTCTGTGTGAGTTTCTGTGCAATATTTGATAGAATCATAGAATGGCCTGGGTTGAAAAGAACCGCAATGATCATCTCATTTCAATTCCCTGCTGTGTGCAGGGTCACCAGGCACCAGACCAGGCTGCCCAGAGCCACATCCAGCCTGGCCTTGAATGCCTCCAGGGATGGGGCATCCACAACCTCCTTGGGCAACCTGTTCCAGTGTGTCAGCACCCTCTGTGTGAAAAGCTTCCTCCTAATATCTAATCTAAACCTCCCCTGTCTCAGTTTAAGACCATTCCCCCTTGTCCTGTCACTATTCACCCTTGTAAAAAGCCGTTCCCCCTCATGTTCATATGCTCCCTGCAAGTATTGGAAAGCCATGATGAGGTCTCCCTGGAGCATTCTCTAAGCTAAGCAAGCCCAGTTCCCTCAATTTTTCTTAGGTCTCTTAGGCTTCTTGTGCCTCAGTTTGCTCCAGTCTAAATCAGTCAGAACCATGTGGGATGTTCTTTTAAGTGTTCTGTGGACAGGAGGCTTTGCCTGTCTCTTGTATCTGAGCAGTTTCAAGTTTCTGCTTCTTTTGTTTCACTGCACACAAGTGCACATTAATGAATTATCAGTGCCACTCAAACCACAGGTAGCTTCCAGAGATGGGCTGTTCTCAGGATTCCTGCTGCCCAAGTGCTCAGCGTGTGCCTTGTTTTCCTTCCAAAAGACTCATTCCCTCTGTCCTTTCCTCTCAGGTGTAATTAACAACCCGTGTCAGTGAATCATTAAGTAATGAATGTGTGGTGATTTGCACTTCTTATTTCTGTGGCCAAAAGGTGCTGCTACAGGGAAGGCAGTTGAGCTAATAAAGACAAAAAATTGTGTTGCAGATGGTCTGTTCCTGGAGAAGGCTATGCAGCTCGCCAAGCGTCACTGCAACGCTCTCTTTGATTATGCTGTAACTGGAGATGTGAGGATGCTGCTAGCTGTTCAGCGCCACCTCACTGCTGTCCAGGATGACAATGGAGACAAGTAAGTCAGTGCTGGCAAGGACTCAGTGACGGGAGAGTGAAGTCTTTGGCAGCAGAGCGTAGTTAGCATTCCACCTGCTGTGGGTGCTGATCGGGGACTGCAGCACCACTCGAATCAAATAAACATCGTTCTCCTTTATGCTGCTTGGGAGAGGGATGGTTGTGATTTTTTGCTGCTCACACCAAGTTGGTTGCTGCAGTGCCTCTCAGAAATAATGTGTGAGGGTGTGTGGAGGATGCTGTGAGTTTGCATGTTCTTACTTCAGATCAGTGCTGAGTGTGAACTGCTGCATTTGTCGTGAAACACAGTTGATGGAGATCACCAGCTTTGTGCTGCAGGAGAGTGCCCTGCTTCTGATGCTATGCAAGTCCCTAACTCTTCATTGGGAATTTTGAGTTGTGGATGCTCTGGGAGAAGTAGAAATAATAGCTCGAGGGTCTTTGCTGCTTTTTCTCCTACTGATACCAAAGGACACTGTGCAGATTCTGTGTGACTCACAGTGAGGAACAGATTATTAGTAGTTATTTAAAACCAAACTTGGTGGAAGTGATTCTGAACACAAGCAAAGGTAATCTCTCTTGAATAAACAAGTGATATTATCACATTGTCGCTTTTTAGCTGGTAGGCTTTTGGCAGGCTCTGCACAATCAATTTTGTTTCCTTAATTGCAGTCTTTTGTGCAGTACATGCCAGGTAAACCTTAAGGTCCCTAACCAGATGGAAAATTACAAGACTGAAGCAGGCCTTAGAATACTGATAAGCTATATACTCAAAATCACTGAGAACTGCTTACTTTGCTCTCCAGCTGGCAATTTGATGAAGCTTTGAGGTAAACAGGTATATGGATGATGTAGGGGCTAGCAATGAAATCTGCTGGCACTTTGGGCAATGCAACTTCTGTGTGTATTTGTTGGTTTTGTTGTTGTTTGTTTTTAATGTTAAAAAAAATGATACTAATAATCCCCAGAAGATTGTGAGAGTATTAATCTCAGCCCCAGTAAGAGCGACCTGCATTTAAACATCAACACGGCATTCCCCAGATTTGGACTTGAAGGGTTTTTCAACGAGTCAAAGTAGTTTAATCATTATGACAGTTATTTTTCCTGGATCAAGAAGTACCTGCAAGTATGTGAGTCTCAAGTTCATGTTGCTTTTCTCCTGGGAAGGAATTAGTCTGTGAGCATGTAATGCATATAAATTGCTCTGCAGCTATTGAACAAAACAAAGGTTTGGGGGCTGTCTGCCAGCTCTCTAACAGGAGCTGTTTAAGAAAAAAACAAAATTCCAAAATTTATACATCAGTTCTCTGTAACTTTCACTTTAATCATTACAAACACATGGAAAACACTATAAATTTTTTTGCTGAAGCCATGACAGAAATATTACCAACAACAGTTTTGTACATCTTTCATGAAAATAGTCTGTAGGGAATGAAAATACCTTTGTTGAGATCCTGTGTTTTGTGTAATGGCTTTGATACCAAGTACATTAATCTGTGATCAGCCTGTACTTAAGCAGTGCTCACTGTTACTGCATTCATAGCACAGATCTCATGAAGTCACATTAAAGCACTTTGCCTCCACAAGGTAAAATTGAAATATTTACCACAGGAAAGAGAACTGAAGGCAGTAGAAGAGCAAATCTGTGAGATTTGGAAATAAAATGTCAGCAGGAGAGATCATAGAGAGTAGCTCCTGGGGAGCAGAGGAACACTTCTTTTATGGCAGCAGTGGGACTGTTGGAACAGCACAGAAGAGCTGAGGGAGGAAGAGTGCCACAGTGCTGCCTATGGCAGTATCCAGAGACAATAAAACAGCCTCTCGGGATGAGTTTGTTTTAGAAGTCTTGGTTGTTTTTTTCCTTTTTTAACGTATCTTGGGGATTCGGAGTGCTTGTTCTGAACTGAAAGAGGACTCTATGCCACAAATGGCAAGGGACTTCTTTATTTTTCTGATAGAAGTGTAGATGTGAGTGCATTCAGGTATTCCTGTAGCAGGTTCCTTAACAAGCACATTGTGTGACCTGTGCTGATGCATGTCCTCAGCAAAAGGTTTAAGAGACTCTAGAAGTTGGCCAGGGAGAGCTTGCTAAGGTGTGATTCCAAACGGGGCACAGCTTTGAAATGACGTCTCAAAGAAACAAGACAAATCAGATGAATGATTATTGTCACAACCTGCTTTTTTCCTGGTGTTTTTTTGGCAAGTACAGCCACTCAGGCTGGCGGAGTGAAGGAAGTATCTCTGGAGCAGAGCACAGCAAAGGCTGCAGCAGAAACTCAGCAGAAGTGGTGCTTTGCTTTGCAGAGTCACTCATGTCCTTCAGCACATTTTTCCTTCAGCAAGAAAGACACCTTTGGCCACTGCTGCAAATCCTGGGGGTGTTGGTCACTGACCTGAGCCCTGAGTCATTTTTCTGTTTGAAAATGAAAACAAGACAAACCTACAGAATGGGGAGGGGGGAACCCCTGAGGGAAAATCTGCCTGGGTGGCAGAGGGCTGTGGAAATTCTGGAGGAAGGCTTTGACAGGAAGAGATGTCTGTGCTTTAATTATTCAGCATACTGACAAAAAAAAAAAAAAAAAGCCAGTGAAGAATGTGGCTATTTGAGACAAGTTCTGAGACATTTCTTTTGTGATGCAAAGTTTTTATTTGTAGGGCTAGTAGTTAAGTCATACTCAGGACCAGCAAAATTCATCCTGACTCTTCTTTTGTGATTGAAGCGGTAACACAGCTTTCTTCTGGCTCAGTTTTTTTTAATGTTAGCATTTATTTTAGGTGTTGACAAAGACTTCTAATAGTCAGCTGTACAGCCAAGTCTTAGAATTTGTATCATACGTTTGAGAATACAGTGACAATGCTAATCTGTTATTTTGTTTCAGTGTCCTTCATTTGTCAATTATCCACCTTCATAGAGAACTGGTTAAAAACCTGTTGCAAGTGATGCCGGACATGAATTATAGCAGCATTATCAACATGAGAAATGACCTTTATCAGGTATGCTGTTGTGGTGGTGTAACTGATGGAGATCATTCAGCCAGCTGTAACTGTTCTCCTTACTGTCTTATTTTCCTTCTGTTCATCAGAATGAGCCCAGATCACATAGTAAGGCAAACTGGTTTACAGTTTCACGCACTGAGGAACACAGTGACACGCTGTAAGGAGGTGGAAGAACAAGGGCATGTTTTCCTTCTATTAATTCCTAACTGCCTTGATGTTAAGAGAGACATCTCCATTTGTTTATTATAGAACAGCCCCAAAATACCGAATTCTTCAGTTTATATTTTCATTATTTGGCTCCTCTGTTATTAAATTAGAGATCTGGATTAGTGTGCCAACTCTGGGCTCTTTCAAATGTTTTAATGCAGGATAATTCAGGATCATGAGTGTGTTGCTGAGGAAGCTTGTAACAAACTATGTCTTTCTGTAGCCTAGGTCTTCATGCCCGTTGTATGAGCACCAAAGTTTCTCTTTCATTTTTCAGTTCACAGTGTACCACAAAAAAAAAAAAAAAAAAAAAAAAAAAAACGTCTTTTACCCAGTAGGGAAGTAACTGTTAGCAGCCCAGCACAATTCTCTCCTCAACTTATCTGTAACACAGTTTGAGCTTTTTCTGCTGCAACTTAGATGGGCTTTATAAACAGCTATGGAAACTTGCCAGTAGAAGCAGCTCTCTTCAACCATGCATGCCATTCCGTTGTCACAAAGGTACCCAGCTGGACATCACACAGCAGCACTTCTGAGACTTGTGCCATTTCTTTCTGTTCAGCTCCACGCTATAAATGATACAGCCAAGACTTCGTTCTGTGCAGATAATCTCAGAGGCTTTATTGTGACTTCTCTGTTCTCCTTCATGTTTCATTTTGTCCTCTCATAAAGGAAGTTTGAAATGTGAAAGGTGATGAAAGCAAAAAGATTCTGAACTGAATTTTGCATGCCCTCTGTTTAACAGAAATAGGAAGCAAAGCTGTGCTCCATAGAAGAAATAAATCTCTAACTACCAGAACTTCTCCAGCTGCTCTACCTTTCACTTAAGCCTTAAGCCAGTGATGGGAGGGAAATGCAGGTTTAGTCTAAGGTTTCCCTTTGTGCAGATACTCTGAAAGATTCTCATGCTTTGCCATATCAATTCAAGTAATTGCAAATACGTTGGTAATTCCACTGACAAACACAAGCTTGTTTTACAGATTATTAAAGAAATAGGTATATAGATTATTAAAGAAATTAGTTCCTTTTTTTACAGTAATCTGTAAATATAAAAGTAATGATATGGAGATGGAATCTTCTCCATTTTTCAGATTACTTTAGTTTAGGAATACAATTTCCTAAACCACTGCAGTGCCTCACTGTTAAATACACACTTTGTGATCCATGAAACTTGTTATTGGCAAGGATGCAGTATACAGTTAACATCTGGAAAAATTTGAAATCTCAGCCTGAGAGCCTCAGTGCTACAGGTGTCTTTGTGCAAAAATAGGAACCCATGCAAACAGTATCAGCTAGATGATATTGTGTAATCTGAACTTTGGCAAACAGAACAGCAAGTTTTTCTGCTTTTTTGTATGTAGTTGTTTTGAAGGATAAGGAAATCCTAAACCTGTGGCTGGGAACTTGCTTTTTAGGAGCAAAATTAGAGTATGATTCAGTTGCAGAGGCAGAGCTGAACAGGCTCTAGAAAGTGTGTGTGCTCCTTCTGTGGCAGGAGCTTGGCAGGGTTAGTGCATCTGGGAGTACAGGGGATTCTCTCATTTTCCAAGACCCTTGCACTACAAACAGCCAGGTTAGTCCCCCAATCCACAAGGTAGGCAATGTCTTCCTTCCTCCTCAGGTCTGACTGCTGATACCAGTGAGGTGGCTTTTATTTCCAGTAAGTAGAAAACCCTATCTGTATTATACAGCAGAAGAAAATGTACTCGTACACAAGTTTTTCACCTGTGCCAGTGTTAAAGCGGAGCAGCACCTCACAGTAGGTGCTTTCATTGGCTTAGCAGATTTCTGTAAAGGGGTGTTGTTGCCCCTCATCTTCTCATGGCTCACTTCTGTCGCTTCCAGACCCCCTTGCACCTGGCAGTAATCACAAAGCAGGCAGAGGTGGTTGAAGACTTGCTGAAGGCTGGAGCAAATGTCAACCTTCTGGATCGCCATGGTAATTCTGTCTTACATTTAGCTGCTGCTGAAGGAGATGACAAGATTCTGAGTCTGCTCCTCAAGCATCAGAAGGCATCTTCAATGATTGACCTTTTCAATGGCGAAGGTATGGAACGATAGTGCCTGTACTTTACACTTACTTGCCTTCTAGACAAGCACCCCACCATTTCTGACAACCCAGTCTTTCTAGGCGGATACAGACCTTGGAAGTTGCATCTTTCCATGGTTTGCACATTGTAGCCTTGGCTTTTATACACCTGCAGTCAGATAAAAGAACATACATGTGTAGGTTTTGTGGTTATACAGAACGTAGAGATTGGTAATGTCCATATTACACACTATGGATTTGAACTTTTTGTTCTTTAGCATCACAAAAATTCAGGAACCGTGTTCCTCTTGGGATGCCTTAGAGAACCACTGTTTAGAAGAAATTCCAAGTGAAAATATTTCCTCTTCTCCAGTGGATAAAGTTCCCTCAAAAGTCATTTCTGGACCAGTGTCAAGTATCACATCTGGAACACTGGGACCACAGAGTTATTAAAGCTTATAAAATACCCACAGAGACCCTACTCTCCCACTTCTCAATGGCTCAGGTCATTTGAATTTAGTACTCTTGCACTAGATGTAGATAGTAAAATACCTGGCCTAAAAATGTCACTGTGCGATTTAAAAAACTGTGTTAAGTTTGTCAGAGAGAGTTGATCCTTCGTATTCTTTGTAAGTAGAAAGCTTTATGATTCTCTTTTTGAGCAATTAATGTTGAGGTGACAGAGCTGTCTGACCTTTAAGGAGCATTATTCTCCAGGATGTTTCTAGAACATTCTAGGGTGATTCATTTTTCTTCCTTTCTGTTCCTCTGTGCAATTCGCTGATTTTTCTCATGCATGGTTTTGAGTCACAATAATACAAGTAGTTCCAATTTATGCACGAAGAACATTTCAATTATCACCATTTTTGGTGCACAGACAGGCAAAGGTCACTCGTGCTCAGATAACTACAGTAACTCTCAGTCATTTTACAGCCTCTCAGAGATGCAGCTGCTTAAGAAGTCATTGCTGTGACATTTCTGTGTTTTTCAAATGTTAACGTACACAAATGGCTTTTGTGTAGGTCTCAGTGCAGTTCACATGGTGGTGATGGCCAATAGCTTGTCCTGTCTGAAACTACTGATTGCTGCTGGAGTTAACGTCAATGCTCAGGAACAAAAATCTGGACGAACTGCATTGCATTTAGCTGTTGAACAAGAGAACATCCCCTTGGCAGGCTGCCTTTTGCTTGAGGTGAGGGCAGAATTTCTTTCTCCCCGGTCTTCCCAGAGACGTATTTTCAAGACTTTTAAAATAAGTCAGTCTGCAGTGGAAATGAAGTGGTGTTTCTCTTTATTGGCTTGGTTATTTTAACTGGTATAATGGGAAAATTTTCACTGATGTTATTTATTTGCTATTAGTTATTCAGCACTGCTGATGAACCTTTTTTTAAGCTGAGAAATTTGGTTTGTGACCCTGACCTGACTGCCTGTGCCATGCTTAATTTGCACTGAGCAATCCCAGCAGCCAATGAAACTACTCACGAACAAGTTGCTGATCTGGTGTGGTGGAATGCGTATGCAGATGTGCAGAGAGATAGCTGTGTGTATCTGTAAATATTTGTCTCATCTCTCGCACCTTGATCTTAGCACACTTAATTGCACACACCCACAGCTACCTGCAGTAGCTCCCCTGGTATGGGGTACAGATGTGCTAGCGGCCCATCTGCTCTGCTGAAGGGCAGCAGGAAGGCAGCTTTCAGTGCACAGCAGATGCTGAGGGTAATCTGATAATAGAACTATTATCTGATTAGTATTATGGGATGCAAAGTGGCTTTTGAGTTTTATCTACCTGGCCTATTTGGGTTCAGACAGCATGCCTCCTGCTGTAGTACTGCAGTGCGCAACCACTGTCTGTTCTTGTGTGCCAATAGCTGTAATCACCTTCCGATTCATTCTTTTCAGACAACGGCTGGAATTTTTGCACAGACAGGCATGGAATGGTGCTGCTTGCAGAATAACAAGGCTTATGCAGCCAAGTCTCCATGTAGCAGTACTGTATGCATGAATAGCGTTTTCCTTCTTCTCTTTTAATACTTAGGGTGATGCAGATGTGGACAGCACTACCTACGATGGCACAACGCCTCTTCACATAGCAGCTGGAAGGGGCTTTACAAAACTGGCAGCAGTTCTCAAAGCAGCAGGTATTCAGTCAAATATTTGTTGCAGTGTTCTCTTTAACTGTGCCAATTCACGTTAGGGGGCTGCACTTAGGAGTTAGTGAACTTCTTAATGAGGAGAAGATAGCAGATGTTAAAAGGCTTGTTTCTGCTCGGGAAAGTCCTAGTTTCAGGGGTCTTTAGCACCATCTAATGGCTAAAAAAAGCAAAGCAAAACTATCTAAGTAAAAATAGTTCCCAAGCATTCTTGGAAGTTTTGGGGTATTTGTAGATATTTTTTTAAATACCTGCAGCAGACAAAAAAACCAGTTTTATGCTTGGAATAAGGGTTGGACTGCTTTTAAAGGCAAAGAAACTGGGAACACTTCTACCCAGTTCTGTATCACTACAGTAAAGTTAGTTTTGGTTTTGTACTGGAATGGTTTTTTCAGTTGCGTTTAAACCTTCGATACCTGAATTTTCTCCTTAGAAACAGAAATCCAAGCCTCCCACAGCTCTGGCTGTGTGATTGCTCTTTTAGTAACATTTGTGCTTTCTCTGACACTACAAAAGGGAAGCCCTGCATCAGTGCTTCATCACATACGTGCTCTGTGTGAGCCAAGAATGGAACTGGAAGGTCAGCTTATATAATCAGACTCTTCAGGCCTTAACACACTGCTTGTCATTTTTCCCCCGTCTGTATAATGGATGAATACACAGGGATGATTTAACTTCAGTTTATTAAAAAACCCTACTATTTTCTGAGTTAAAATATGTATTTTAAGTTTTGAATTGCAAACCTTCTAATTTAGCTATTTTAACTATGCTTTTCAACAACACAATGTAAAACAGCTTAAAAGCCTTTCCTTAGAAATTTCTTGCCCGCTTGTTTTCCAGGTGCAGATCCTCACATTGAGAACTTTGAGCCACTCTTTGATGTAGAAGAAGATGTGAAAGATGATGATGATGAAGGAATTGTACCTGGAACAACGCCACTGGATATGGCAGCCAACTGGGAGGTACGTGGTCTGTTGTCTTTTAGTATTTTAAAAAAAAAAAAAAAAGGATAGTTCAGTTTTGTCAGCCAATTTGCTTCATTTCATCTAGTTATATAAATAGTGACAGAGTTCTGTAGCACCTCACTGACATAAAAAACAAACTTACTGAGCCATAAGAAACGGTGAAGTAGGATTGGAAGCTCCTCTTAGTTCTGTTGAGCGGGATTGAACAAGCATTTCTTCAAAGTAGCTGCACTGGGGTTGTCAGTATGGAAAAGAATGCAGCAGATTGAGCAGCTTGTGCTTGCAGGTGCACGTTCAGGGTCTGCGAGCCCAGGGTGAGACACTGTAATACATTTCTCTGCTGCACGGTCTTTAGAACTGCAGACTGGGTGGTATGTAGTGAAAATAGACTTTTGTGTCTTACCTGAACATTGGTTAGATTACATGGTTCAAGCTCCAGTATCCAAGTACATGCAGCTAGCATGATGTGAGCATATAAGTAGCCAGCATTCTGATCACATGGAGCGAGGGTGGGGAGTGGTACCGAGAAGATGAAAATGGAGCCCAGGCTTTGTTTCAAATTACTAGTTGTAGATAGCTGCTAACTCCTCACTTAGCTGCTGCTACAGCCCCTTGTTTACTGCACAGACTGCTTCTGTATCCTGACAATAATTGCCAGACGACAGAGCTTAAGGGCAAGGGAGATGAACTTACAGGTTTATCCCTCAAGGTATAAATGATTTAAAAAAAAAAAAAAAAAAAGGGGGGGGGGGGCCATTTACAATACTGAAACAATACTACTGAAACTTGTCCAAATAATGGACAATCAACCAGGTTTTGCTAAATAATAAATTGAATGTATTCTTTTAGGTATATGACATATTAAATGGTAAACCCTACGTGGCAGCAGCAGCAGTTTCAGAGGACTTAATGACACAAGGTAACATCTGTAAAGAGGACCTGGCCTCCCCTTGGTAATGAACAGCTGAGTACACAAAGCATGCTTGGAGAATAACAAAACAAGCAGAGGCTCGTAAGGGAGGTGGGGAGGGAGAAGAGGTACTCACTACCACTGCAGTCTTTGAATGAGCAAGATTCTGTTAAGAAGCACGGCATGAGGACCCAAGTTTGTACGTTTTCAGTATTACAGCAATATATTAGTAAATAGCAGTGGATGCTACAATAAGTAATTTTTAATTTGGTTTTGCATCTGCTTAGAAATGAACTGGTGTGTGACTCATGTAAATTACAGATGTATTTTTCTGTTCCCCAGGCCCTCTGAAAGAGCTGAATGAAAGCTCCAAGCAGCAGCTTTACAAGCTATTGGAAACACCTGATTCAAGCAAGAACTGGTCTACTCTAGCAGAAAAGTTGGGTCTTGGCATTCTTAATAATGCTTTCAGGTTGAGCCCTTCACCTTCGAAAACTCTGCTAGATAACTATAAGGTAATGTGGCTGTAACAAGTTATAAAGAACATGCAGATGTGCAGTGAATGTTGTCCTGCACAGTGAGATACTGCAGCCCTTTGGTTTTGGCGAGCCAGGATGAAGCTGTGAGCATCTGCTGTCTTCTCTTTTAGATTTCTGGAGGTACAGTTCAAGAGCTGATTGCTGCTTTGAGACAGATGGATCACACGGAAGCTATTGAAGTAATTGAGAAAGCACTATCTAGTTCACAAAGTCAGCCTCACCAGGAGGACAACACAATAGAAGCTTTTCCTATATCATCACCAGCCAATTTTGCAAAGGGAGAGACAGGTAAAATTAACATTTCTTAGTTCTTCCTCCTTGCTTTGGAATGCTAATAGACAGCAGAGTTTCTTACCCATTATGTCTGAGATCCTTACCTGTTTCTGTTTGTGTACCATGTAGGGCTTTCTCAGTTGACATTTGCTAGATGCACAAGAAAGAGGAAAAATGGATTATTTTAACCTGTAGCTACAGTATTGAGTATAACTGGCTCCTTTTTCCTTAATGTGGTCATCTGCCACTTACTGATACTAATTCCTTAGATGTTTAAAAGATAAACTAGGGAATGAATTTACAGGTTTATACACATTCCCATTATGTTTTCACTTGCCCCTTTCTTCCACCCAATCTAGACAAACACAGATGTTTGGGGTTCATAAACTTCTCAAAGAATCAACCATAGCAACTCCATCCTGGTCCAACTGTGCTAGACATGGAACAAACATTTGCACCTTTCAAGAGTGTGTTTGTACATATTACCTCTTTAGACTATTCTTAAAGAGGGAGTTTGTGCTGCTTTGCAATATGAATGTCTTTTTTTTTTTTAAAAACAGTTGTTTAGAAAAATACCACTTGGCTCTGTAATACACCAGCTGCTGTTCTATTCACTACAACTCTGATACAGTTCTCTCGCAATCAGGTGCTTATTTTATGAAGCTTACACAGATGACAGCTTTGTATTTCAGTCTCCCTTTAATAACTAGATGAAAATTGTTCAAGACAAACACCTCAGAAATCAGCAATTGAAATAACATGAGAATTTTAAGGAGCCTCATCCTGGAGCTGCGTACTTGTGCAGTCCATGCATCTGAGATGCAGAGAACTTTTTGCCCTGCTGCTACCACACTGGGGCAGACTCCTGACTCCAGTGCGGTGACAGTATTAATGTCAGCAGCACAGCAGGCTTCGCATCTCACCCAAACGCTGCCTGCAGTTGATCTCTGCCAGCAGTGCATCAGCTCACATGCTCTGCTCAGCTGAAAGCATTCAGCCTGTGCTGATTCAGCCTTTTCCAATAGCAGTACCTAAAGCTACAGTTATTTCCTTATACAAGAGTTGTAACCTGTTGCTTTGTATTCTTCTGGCCTTTTGGGATGTCACTGAAGTAAAACAAACTAATTGATTTCCCTTTTCTCTCTCAGGTGAACTTTATAATCACAAATTTCAAGACACTGAAAGCACGTGTGACAGCGGGGTAGAGACCTCCTTCCGCAAACTGAGCTTTACTTATTCAGACTCTCTGAACAGCAAGTCATCGGTAACACTTAGCAAAATGACCCTGGGCTACAGCCAGGAAAGCTCAGAGCAAAGCAATTATATACCTAACTAGGTAACTTCAATTAGCAATATATGCAGTTACAGAAACAACCCCAACGTTTAGAATTACACTGATGTTGTCACAGCTGGAGGGAAGTAAATTCACAACCAGAAATGCACTGGAGGATCCACACATGAACCTGAACCAGTGGTAACTCCTCACCCTTGCTTCCTTCCTCAAGTACTGTCCATTTATAAGCCACATCTGAGAACCAGGGCTCCGTGCCACATTAATACAAAGGACTGGACACTGATGGACTGAGGGAGCTCACCTGGTTTGTGAGGATTTTCTTTTATAGATGAAAGACACTCCTTATTAATGCCTAATATCAGCTCACTTAATTCAAAGAGGTAAAGCACACAGCAATCAAAGGATGGTTTCTGGCTGTTCCTTTCAGAAGTTTTGCAGCACGGTTGTCTGGAAAAAGCTCCTAAAATCACTGGTAAAGAAAAAATAGTGACTTTAATTGCAACAGTGACAACTCTGGCAAAAGAATCAAAAAAAAAAAAAAAAAAAAAAATCTTGTATATTTCAAATAATGTATTTAAACATAGCTTTGGTGCCTCTAAAAAAAAAAAAATCAAGTTTTGCATTTCCTACTTGTAAATAGTTTTTTATATCAGTTCCTTTTTTAAAAAAAAAAAGTGTGCTTTTTAAAAGCTTATTTTTATTTTACTTTTATAATAAAAACTCAAAATTAAATCTTGTCTACGCTTGCTGTAATTTTTACATAACTTCCAATTGCAATTAGTTACAGAAGATCTAGTACTGAGTTCTGGCAATTTCCAACTGCTAAAATAAATGAAAGGTTGCAAACCTCTTCTCCTTAAACTTAAGTGTCTTATAGGGAACGAGACCACACGGATCTGCTGCAGCTGAGAATCTGTGCTGAGAGCCTCTGATTCATAGTCCTTGATAGTTCTCATAATTCTGGCAGCAGAGTCATTGATGCTGAAGTCCACAATTCTGCTTATCAGCAAAACTAATGAGGTGGTTCTTACTTGGCTACCTGAAACAACTCTATAACCATGTTTCTGAGGAGTATTTCTTTTTGTCTCAAATTAATCCCAGTGAGTGCAACAGTTACAGCTATTGCCCCTACTGCAGATACAGAACAGCTATCAGATTTAACTATAAAAATGCAAAGTGCTGTCATATCGCTTACCCATAGCCAGCTTTCATGGCACAGGGGTGGAGTTTTTGACACACTGATGATCCTTGGCTGACCTCAGTCTTCAGCAATGTGGATATAGTTCCTGGGAAAGGAGATAATATAAATAAAATAATATTAAATACTTCCATTCATTACAGCAAACGCTACTATGAAGTCACAATCAGTGAAAAATCTTTTGAAGTAACTTCATATCCAGCTGAATTAATTCCAGAGAAACAGGATACAAAATGGTAAAAATACAATGCTTTCTTTCAGTTACCACATGAGCAGCCTATGAATGCAGCAGTGTGGACTTCTGTTTGATGAGTGTAGTTGTCCAGTGTTCCGCCTTCATTTCTAGCTGCAACTATTTTTTAAATGCAGAAACGGGCAAAGGTTTTCATGTTCTGTCCCTGTCAGAGCCACTGAGTCACTCCTACCTTCCGGCACCGATCTTCCAGCACAGCCTGGAGGGGGTGGCAGAGGCTTTTATCAAGGTTTCTGTAATCCTGCAGGTCACCAAGGCAGGCTGGCTGTTGATGAGCACAGTTAGCATTGCTTCCGGCCCTCTGCTGCTTTTAAACCACCAGAAGAGACCTGGCATAAGTGGCAGGCTGGCATCTTTTCTTGCAGTTTCTTTGCAGCAACAGAAGCTTCAGACTTTTTTGTTTTTGTTTTTTTTGTTTGTTTGTTTGTTGGTTTAGCAATAGAAAAATACTAATGTAGTCTCATTAATTCAAACATGAACACTAAATTTCTAGTCAGGTCATAACTTCTCCCATCTGCTTTAGCCCTCAGCATCTTAAGCATTTGTTACAGGCATGACCATGGTTTGGCAAAAGCAGGCAAGAATAGAAGGCAGCTGGCAAGGGAGCACTACAGGTGTCAGGCTGCCTAGTGCAAGAGGTATTTGTTTCTTTTTTGTATAGTTCCACACCAGCAGAGTAAATTTACTGGAGAGCCTTGTGTTTACCTCGGTTTAATTCAAAGAAAATGCTCATGCACACAGCTTTGCTCTTTCTTCCTTACCTTTTCTCTTATCAGCAGGCAGTCATCCTTTGCAGGGCACGCAGCCTTGTTCTTCTGGCACCTGGAAGGAGGCAGGCAGCACAACGAAGGGGAAATGCCCAAGCACACTGCTGCCTCATGCAGGTTGAAGGAAGAAGTGTACGCAGAGGAAGCATGGTCTACAGGAAAAGAGTATGAGCAGAGCATCCAAGTCTCAACAGAAACATTTTGAGTAGCTGTATTCTTAACAAGTAACCACTAAGAGAGATTTATACATCCCATTAGCTCACCTTAGACACAGATTTATTCTTATGTCACCTTATGCAAGAAAGGAGTGCTATTCCTGTTCCCCAAGTCTGAAGGTCAAACAAATGAGAGAACCCAGCTCACTGCTTGAGATCTCCTGTGCATGACTGGGTTATGGAGAAACCTTGTCCCACCCAACACTGAGAAGACTTGACCACACCAACACAGGGTAGTAACAAGGACTAATCATTACTGACTCATATTCAGTACAGTTACAGGCCTGTAGCACAAGCTATTGTCCCTATTCTACTCCACGTTAGCCCTGAAGGAACAAAAATCAAGACCCTGTTATTAACTAAAGTTCAGAAAAGCTAAGTGTATCTCTGTTCTAAATAGAATTTCTGGAGTTACTTTTACCTTTTCCCTAACAGAACCTTTAGGAAAACTGTTCCAGCAATCTACCAAGCTCCTATTTACTCCAAGCATTACTGCATGACTGTGCAGGAGGCCTAGAGTGCACTGCTGTTAGCAAATAGGACAGCAAAGCTGGAGGAAGGGCCAAAATGCATATACTAACAACTTGAAGCATCTCAAGATGTTTGCACTGGGGGCTCGTCCCTCTGAGTGCTAGTCACACTTTCAGTTTCTTTGGCAGAGATTAATCTAGAAATATCTCCAAAGGTATTTAACTAAGCTTTCCCCCCCTCCCCAGTATATAGACAGGTGCAACCTTTAGACACTTCCAGTCAAGTTCTATAAGTTACATTATACATTATATATTATAAATTATAGCAAGAATCTAAATCTGAAATACACTTAATCTGCACTTGCAGTAAAAGATATCTGCTGCGTTGTTTTGCTTTGTACCACAGTAACAGACACCAGAAATAGGGAACAGAGGAAAAATATGGCGTGACAACAGAACACTACAGATTTTCTCTATGTTTGACATTAAAAAAGGCTATTTAGAAAGTTTAACTGAGCTTGTTTTTAAAGTGTCTGCCATTGCTGTGAGTTTCCAGTGACTTTTGTTTACCAGCCTACAGTGGTATATGAAATGCCTTTTCTCCCTTTCATGGGCTGGTGAAGTGCTGTTTTCCTGCATTTAAGGAAAAAAGCAACCTTCCCTCCCTTGAGGTGACAAGGAACAGTGGTGACCATTCATTAGCTCAAGATGCAACTGGCCAATACTCACTTACAGCTTACAGCTCTTCTGGAGCATACAATGCTCTTAAAGCAGAGCAGTCCTGCAGCGATTCTGCCACAAGTTTCATCCAAACTTCTGATGAATTCAAAAGATTCCTACAGCTACAAGCAAAAGACAGCACAAGTTAATTCCAGTAGATGCTTTTCTGTATCCAGAGTTACAAAATAATGTGATGCCCTGCTTAGAACTAGGCTGCAGTACGTACGTTATCCAAAGCCCATAGAACTCTTAAATAAGTCAGTGGGAAAACCAATTGTAAAAAGTTTTCCATCATCCACTTAGCCACGCTACTTTCACAACACAGACGTGTGCAAGCTGATCTGTGGGCTTCATTACACACTGCAAATGCTTGTGACTGACTTACTGTCAGTTAACCCGTGGCCTACAGTAGCCACATACAATGGCATTTTCCCAATGCTGACAGAGACGAAACCAAGAAATTGCTAAGGTTCTGCATTTTTCACTTAAGACTTGCTTCTCTATCCCTAATTACACTGAACAGGGACTTTCATTTCACTATCCTCTGACATCTGATTGAGAAGGACAACTACGTTAACTCGATTCCTTGACTGGAACATACACTTAAACATTCAAACAACAAGATCCTGGTTTACTCAACTTCTCCCCCACAGGGTAAGAAAGGAAAACAAAGACTCCAGGATTGTAAAAGCAAGCCCTAACTCTTCTTTTCCGAGTACAAGAATCTCACTCTCCTGTTCCCTTGCAACTGATGCTGCTATAAGTCATTGAAGTGACTCTGCTACACACTCCAAAGACAGACGGGGTACTAACAGGAACGGAAGTGCTGAAGAAAGATGTGCCTCTAAAGCAGACAAGTTGTTCAGGCCCTGGGCTAGGCAAGCAACAGGTAACACAGACTGACAAAGAGCTACGTATTTGGAGATGAATTCTAGGTACACATCTCATGAAAACCAGAAATATAAAATCCAGAAAGGCTTTCAAAAACAGTTAGAGGCAGGAAAGGGAAGAAAAAAAAAAAAGAAAAAAAAAAAGAAAAAGAGAAAGAAAAAAAGCCTTCCTTGCATGGCAGAAAGTATCACCAGAGGTGCTTTCTGCAGCTCCCTGACCATCAGACAGACCATCAGACAGACCATTTCTGCAACTCTCAAAGTAGTTCAGAGCAAAGTTGGACAGAGACCAGTTTTAGGACACCGCCCCAGTTAACACCATACAGCTTTCTACCAAAAGCTGCTCTCAAGTTCTGTTCTGGCAGTGGTCCTGCTGAAGGGAAATCTGATGGCTGCTTTTGTCATTTGTGGAGAACAGCCCTGCAGGAGCCTGGCAGGGAAGCAGTCTCCATCCATTAGAAAAAAACACAAGCACGAGCAAACCCAGCAATCCCTAGACAAAGTGCTGCAAGGCTACATGCAGAAAGAATACTGGTAGGGCCACCAGTAATAGAACAACACTGCAGACAAGCACCAGGACACGTAGCAATTGCTTTTCCTAATCCATTCACTGCCGATTCCCAACCCATCAGATACACCTGGCAATACAAGTGCAGTTGAGCCACTGGAACCCACACTCAGATGGCTATGGATGATGCATAGATAGGATGGATACTCCAAAGATCTCTTCGCTGTTGTGTTCTTGTCCTTGCCCTGATCTGAGACAAAAGCAGAACAGTGTAATTAAGTATATAACAGCAAAAACACCAAGGGATAATAGTCAACCAAAGTAGATGTTACAGTGATTGCTGCAGTAGGGAGCAAGAAAAGTAGCATCTACAAATACAAATCTGCTGAAGCACCATTAAACCAAAAGAACATATTAAGGATATGAAGACTATATTTAGGGAACGGCTTTGTGACCAACTATTTGGCCTAAGTAATTGTAAATCTTCTATGTACTGTTGCACATAGTACTCAGTAACAGCTTTCCAGTGAGAAAGAATGGACACAGAATTAGGGTGCTTTTGACCTCCAAAATCTGGTAACTGCAAAACACAAGAGCAGAACAACATTTATGGAAGAGCACTTTTCTGTATAACATTGCAGATGGGCACTGGTTGCACAGCCATTACCATTATCGATGAGCCACATCACGTACTTTCATAATGTTGCCCAGAATTCATGGCAGGCCAAACAAGTTCACAGCTGTCTACGTTCATTGTTTATATCTTCTAAAGATCCAAAAGCTCTCTTCTATGACTGTGAAATTTCATTTATATTCCAAGATGCACTTAGAACAAATATCATTGGTCTTAAGATAGTCCTCTCGATATTCTTTGAAACAAGTAATTCTGTCTATTTATTGAACTCTATTAAGTGCCATATTGAAATTCTAGCTAGATGTTCCTGGAAGAGACATTTGTAGTATCTTCCCATCAAAGCAGGATGGGAAGATACTGACTAACCTCTTATTTTCCTAACATGCTGAAGTGGTATTTATTAATAATTTTTATCCCATATTTTCGGCATAGTGGTTACGTTTTTCCATCCTTACCTTATATAGGGCTCTATTGCTGTCATGATTCCACTTGATTCCAAGATACTGAAAAATCTAAAGGCTTTTTCTTCTATTCTTGGCCCAGGGTGCCTCTCATGTACCATTTACATGAGGTGATCAACACCTGCATTATCTGTAAAGTTTTATTCATGGCTATAATTTTCCCTATTTATTTAACATAATCTGTAAATAGTAGCACATAAACATATTTTAATTATTTCACATCTTCTTTTAACAACTCTTGAATCAGAAAAGACCTCCAATGCTCAGTTAGCTGTTTTGATGACCTAGTAAAGCATTTGTAAGGAAACTCCATTAATCATTTCACTTCCACATTCAAGTTTTTCCTCTTCCTCAGGACTATTTTCATTTTGGTTAATGACCCATTCCAAAAACAGCTGCAGATCACCAAGCACCTGTCAAGATGTTTATTTATTGCCCATTAGAACTGCAGCCACTACAACAAAGCAACCCTTTACTTCAGGTTTTTTTAACTGACCAATATGACACACAATCATTTTCCCTGTATGCACTCCATAACCCATCACCCCCATAAATATCATCTACATGGTGCTTTCACTTCAGAGGTGGATGTCACCAGCACAGCTTGTTCAGACACTTTCTACTGTGAAGTAGAAAAATGCAGGAAAATGCATACTGTGGTTGCACTGCAACAGGTTCCCCGTGGAACCCCAGCAAGATCTCAGCTGCATTTCAAATCACATCTGAAAGAAGTTGATGTTTAGCAACCTGGCTGAGGCACAGCTTGGTGACCTGGACTTCCAGATGACCAAACCCTCTGCTATCATCTGCTATCTATCAGACTGCTGTAGCCCCTGCACTGAAGCACATTTATTTTCTTATCTTTAAATGCCTAAGTGAGACATTTCCACGGGAAGCCAAAACGTTTTAAGAACAACTTATTCAGAAACAGAGTAAAAGGTGATGTACGGTTACTCTGTATGGACTAACAAACATAACGGACCCCCAGATCTAATCATGAGTAAGCAGTGTTTTCAACAGGAAAGGTATATACAAAGAAACAAATTAAAGATGGTCAGGTTTTCCTTTGGTGACGTCCATATAACATTTTGGAGGTGACATACACACAAGAGGTTAAGAACAAACACACCAAAGCAGAATTATGACACAATTTGCTTGATAAACAAGTAAGCCAACTCCTCTGAAAGGAGAAGAGGCCCAGAGTGGGGCACAGGCCACTCACAGGGAGTGCCAGGAGGTAGCAGCAATACACAAGGGAGAACATCAGTCCCTGCACTGTGCATTTAGTGGAGAAAAAGGAGAAAATTCTAATGCTGTGGTCCTCTCAATAACCGTTTATTTTCTCTCTTGCTTCCTTTCTCTTTGTACCTTTGCCAACTTTTCTCTCATTCTTTTCCCACAGCCAGGCACATCTCATACCATGACACACTAAGCAGGAATCCACATGAGCAAACAAAGTTTGTGACTGCAGCTGTCTGGGAACCATATAATAATTAAGGTTGGAAAAGATTTCTAAGATCCAACCATCAACCCATGACCACCACGCCCAGTAAACCATGTTCCATGCACCACATCTACATGCTTCTGAACACCTTCAGGCCCCCTGCTGCCACTGCCATGAGGAACGTGCAGAGGGACTTAAATGAGGCAGTGGTACACAGAGAGCAGCAGCCAGCAGCACTGTGTGATGGTGTGCTCCCCCCCACTTTCTTTCTCCCAACTTCCTTCCTCAGCCTGGCCTCACAAATAAGGCCTTGCACAAGCAACCAGATTAATGGGGCAAGGACTACAGTAGATGAAACAAACCACCCTAAGAGTGAGCTGGGTGAAAAAAATGCACTGTTCAACTTGTTGGCCTGTGGAGGTGGTCTCAGCTTCATTCCCTGACCTTCCTCCTTACCTTCTGGTAGTCCTAGGATGATTTTTCACTTATAGCATTGTGAAAGTGGAAAAAATTTATGTATTTTACAAACATAGTCTAGAGGTACATATCTGTTGTCTTTGACGTAGGAGAGAACTACAACCCAGTAATTTCTTTTACATGAATTGGAAGAGTCTTACACCAACTAACCCCTCCCATTTTGTGTGGGATGTAATTACCTGAGAAAGCCAATGTTCAATGCACCACATATATTATAAGCAAGCTGTGTTGTTGCTATCTTTACATTGAACCAGCAGTTAAAATTCACACATGACAAAACAAAACATTCAGTCATCTCATCTCGTAGGTCACCTCAACTGCAGTCAGTCAAATTCTTCCCAGTTTTTCCTCTCCCTGTTTTGTCATCTAGAACAAAATCATCAGGCAACGTCCATCAAAGATGTCAAGGTGAACGACTTTTCTAGTTCTTCAACACTGGTAGGCTCCCAAGGATAAAAAATAACCACCTTCTTCTTTTCCATCATGAGGAAACCATTATCACTAAACCTACCCTTTATACTCCCTACATCCAAAGTAACAAAAGGAGCAATTGCAGTAGTCTGAAGATCAAATCTATAAACATCATCTTGTTGCGATACAGTGGCCTGGAAGAAAAAAAGAAATAAAAATAAAAAACATACTTACTAAGAACAACCAGTTACACCCAAACTGTGAAAGAGTTGTTTGTGATTAAAACAGACTGAAAAAAACCCCCACGTTTGATTAAAGTTATTCTTATTTTCCTATTCTATTACTGTAATATATTCTGGAACTAAAAGGTCAAATACATAACAATCATGCAAAAACCACAAATACTAATGATAGCTTTTCTTCAGAATAACACAGATCGTGAAAAATGAAACTAAGGAGTGTTTTCCTTTCTTTTGAAAATTACCAAATAAATAGTAATATGATTTATACTCAGAACTTGTATCCTAAACTTACTGTGGTGATTTACTGTGGAGTTCCCCCTTTACCTACGTACCTAGGTAGGTATAACCTATAATAACCTATTAATTTATGCTCTAAAGTAGCTGGTCTTTCTGATCACATCAGTAACAGAACCACATGGCAAAAGTCACAGCAGCACAAGAGGTCACCTCTTCCTAACAGAATAGTCTTTATGCTACATTGAAAAGGCAGCTATGTTGTGAAATATCAGAATGAGGCCTAATATTAAGTTCAATCAGTAGTTAATGTCTGTAAAGCTTAAAAGAACAACCAGGATAAATTTTCATGGAGCGGTCTCCATTCCCTGTCAAGAAACGTTATGATATATTGTTTTTAAATTCCAATATGTGGAGAGCAAAATGTAAAAAAACACACCCTGCTTAAAAGAAAAACAACCCTTAATTTTCGAGAAAAAGTACATGTAGTTTGTATTGTGTGCTAACTGAAGAAACAGTAAGCAACGCTATGAAGGGTAGCACTTGGATTAGCAATATATTTGGAAGTCTAGTTAGATTATTAGTAACTATGTATAGAAGCACCACCTTCTTATGAAACAAAAATATTTTTTAAACCACAGCTGCGTATGTTCTTAAAATACCTGCTCTGCATTTATCCCTGCTAGCTATCCTTACTAGCTGCTGCTGCAGAGACAACACAGCCATGGGAAAAAGGCATGAAATTTCCCAGCAGTGCTCCAGTTGCACAGCTTTTATTATTGGTGATGTCATCCTCAAAAAATAAAAAAAAAGCAACCCAGCATGACTCAGACTCCAGATTGTGCCACCAGCTGAAAAAAATAAATAAAAAACAGGCTGGTTTCTTTCCTTTGTATACTCCGAAAGCAGGCCCTGCTACCATCAAAGAGATAAGAGGGGAAAATCTAGCCTATTTTCTTTTTGTAAAGCAATTATTGCTGGTCTAGATTTAAAGAGATTAAAGACCTCTATTCTCCCCTTGTTTAGTTTAGCACTAAAGAGCAAGGCTGCAGTCTGGAAGCCACATGTGAGAACACACAGGTCCCCATTCAGCCACTCTGCTGACTAAGAATTTTGCAATACGATTTACGCACTGAAAAGTGAAGCTTAACTAAATTTGTGTGTGCACATGAGTATGTGTGTACATACACACACACAGAGCAAGCCTGCATATATTTACATAGAAGTAAGCTTGCAAGGAACAGGAGAAATTCAGGGAAAAGCAGTAAATGGAGAAAGCAAACACTTAGAAACTTAAATGCTTTTGTGTCTGTTCAGAAGACTGTCACACTTTATAGATATCACAAAACAATCACTGTTAGGCAAATCTTAGCCCCATGTCTGAAGGGCAAGGATTTGCAGAACAAGGAAATGAATATGCAATATTGCATGTTAGCAGTGTTACACTGATCTAAAAGAGCTTGAGCACTTCAAGAAGAAATACTGTTGACACTAATGTATTACACGCTCAACCGAATTACTTTGACCTGGTACCAACCTACATTGATGTTTTCAAGCCAAAAACACTTTGCAACAATGCTATTTGCTGTCTAGAGACAAGAAGAATGAAAGGAGCAATGCTACAGCAATAAAGTGAAAAATAGACAAAACAAATGAAATGGAGATTTCATTATTTAAACAAACAAACAACAACAAACATACATGGAAAAAACAGTATTATTCAGATACGTATGTGGTGACAAAAAAAAAAAAACAAAAACACATGACTTTGAACTCCTCTACATAGAAGCTAAACTACAGCAGCTAAGGAGACAGAATATTCAGTGGAAGCAGAAACTAAAAGAGGCAAACAACTCAAAATACTTGGATCAGCAAAACCAAATACAGTAATTTAAGATGGCTTACACTAAGTTGAGTCTTTTCCAATCCTACAGCATCCTTCAGGGATGAAAGGAAGTGATGATTCATTGGACTCTGGAGTCCATCTTCTCCCACAAGGTAAAAAGAAACAACACAGCTTTTCCTGGTACAATTTCTGCATCTTTCCAGCAAGGCATTTATGGACTCCTTGTAGATAGAGAACGCACTTTGTGCTTTAACAGTCACACCATCTTTGGCAAGAGTGCATACTGGCTCCAGAGAACTCCAGGAGTTCACAATGACCTGTTCAGACACCACAAAGCTTAGCACAAGAAAAGTTATATGTGCAAAAAACAACCCAGTATCCTAGGTTTCCTGATACTCATTGGAAGAGTTGTTTTCCTGACAGTAGCAGATGATTCACCTCTAATAGCAAGAAAAGATTTAAACAAATCTACAAGAAAAGATTTAAACAATCACTATTGAATAATAAGACCATTACATAAACCTAACAACATGTATGTTGCAGTCGGCCTGGATTTGTTGCTCTTCTCATCTGTAACGTTTTCTTGGTTTGCTTTTTAAATCTCTAGGCTCCTTGAGAGGAAGGGGTTGCTAATTCCTGTCAGGAGCGTGCTGGAAAATTGAGTTATTAAGTGATTGATTTGTTGACTTTTTTCTTTCATTCAAGTTCCTCTGCCTGATTTAAAAAGACAAATAAACGGATTTCTTAAAGTTGCTCAAAGTATCTGACGTAATTCATCTTCAGCTCTAACTGGGCTCTGACAACACAAACGTTCTCCCTGCAACAGCATCCCTGACCTTGCCTCCATCAGCCATATACCTTCTTTTTCTAGAGCTTTTTCTAAGCTCTAGGATATCCTTGTTCAGCCAAGCCAGCCTTCTGCCCCACCTGCTTGACATCAAGCATTTTGGAATTGCCTGTTCCTGTGCTCATAGGAAGTGACACTTAAGAAGTGATCAGTATTGGACTCCAATGCCTTCAAAAGTCATTTCCCAGGGTACTATAAGACAGCCTGAAATCTCCCCAGATCCAGGGTTGAGGTTTTAGAGGCAGCTTTTCTCCTACCACCAAAGATCTTAAATTCTACTACTTCATGATCACTATTAATTCACAGCCACCAGTTGCCACTTCAACCGTGAGACCTCTGTTCACAAGTAAATTGCATCATGTTGAATTAGGGAATGGACTTACAGAAGTTTGTCTATATGAAGATGTGTTCGTGTAATTTTCCTGTATTCAGTAGCTGACATTCTGTAGCAAGAGATGTGAGAGTAATTTAAGAGTGTCACTTACCTTTAAAGTCAGCTTGTGGTCTGTGTGAAAATCTGAGATACCATAGATATACAACACACCATTATCTTCATAGGCCACAGGCAGCAGTGGGGAAAAGAAGTTTTGGGCAAAATAATGGAGCAGTTTCCACTTTCCACCATACTCTGGGAAAGGATTAAAAGGGAGAAAAGATTCAGACAAAATCCAACTTTACCTTGGCACACAACAGCTTCTTGTGCTCTCAGGTGCTGCTTTAACAGAATAATGCCCCCTCCAGTCCTTTTCACCCTATCGGGCAAAGAGAATGACTAAAGTTAATCTTGTTTTCTTCCAGGCATGGTTCTCCTCTGGAATAAATTTGATGCTCTTGAAAGATCTTTTTTTTTGAGCTTTGCCACAAGGTCAAATTTAAAAAAAAAATAAAATTAGTCCTACCACTGACACACTGTCATTCAATAAAGGAAAGCCTCAAACGAGAGACCTTAACATAACTGACACAGCATAGTTCATGTTAAGCATGCAGCTAGACCCTCTATGCTGTTGAGAATACAGCCAAAGACACAGGCATTAGTGGCATTGCCACCAACACCCACCATTGCAAGGAGATGGACACAATGGTCTGCCTAATCTCTTCCCTTTTCCTCAGTTCTCCCCTAAAAGACCAGGAGCAATGAAGCCCAAGTATTCAAACCAAGGACAGCTCCAAGTTTGGCAAAATGAATTTGACCAGGTCTAGAAATAAAGCTCACTGTATGGGATTTACTGAAGACATGCTGTAGATAAGACAGTTTGCTTCGCCTATTGAAAGGAAAACTATACCTCATTACTTTTAATATTGATGGTCTATCATTAACAGATAAACTCTGTCTCCTCTCCAAAAAGAGTAACTGCCAGATGAAACACTGCCACACAAACATTTTGAAATAGTTCTTTCTCTATTTATTTTCTACCTTGAATCCTCTATCAACATTTTCATTCTCTTTGCTCAACTGTTTTTGAAATAGCACTAAAAGCAGCAAGTCAGATCCATTTTCTCATTTAAAAAAAAAAATAAATAACTTAGACATCTACTTCACCCCATCCCTCCTCCGGTTCTTTGTTTCATACAGCAGGTTTAAAGTTCAGGGATGCTGGAGAAGTATTTCCAGTAACACTGGTGTTTTTTTGCTTGTAAACACTTTGCAATTAAGGACCTCACATCCAGAGTAACGTAGATCTTGAAAGGGTGTGTTTGTGGCTTTCATAGGCAGACCTGAACATGCTCAGCCTGCACTTCATACAGACATGAATGAACTTCATGGAGAACAAAGTGCATTAGCTGCAGCTCAGTACCCTGCACCTCGTTTTAAGCAAGCTCACAGTCAGCTAGATGGGTGAACAGACAAGAAAACTTGAATCTGCCTGGAAAATTCATATAAAACTGAACTGTGTTATAAGATCAGACTGTTGCCAACAAAATAACACTGGCATTCATGCTAATTGTACTGAGGCAAACTGAAGAGACAAAGCCTGAACAATTATATTAGGAGAGGTTGTACAGTTTCTTCAAAACAGGCAGTTTGCTGCACTGAACATAGTGAGCAAATTGGTGCCACTCAGCACATGAACAAAGCCATGTTGTTTCATTCTGAGGACAACTCCTGATAGAAAGCACTGCTGGTCTGAAGCGCGACTCCTCCAAAACCAAGGAGTGCAAACAAATTATTCTTTTGGGCCATAAAATTTGAGGAGATGAGAGATTTGGACTGGGAACAGCTTACCTAAAAAACACACCAAACTACGAGCCAGTATCTTATCTGAAAAATAATAGCAGCTGTCCTTGCATGAGAAATGAGCACTGCACCCAAGCCCAGGCCCAGGCAGGGTCTGAAATCTCAGAAATCTTCAGGACTGCCACAAGACTTTCAGGAATTCCAACTGTCATGCAACAGAAGCTTTCCATTGTAGGCCTCAGTCCTTTGACTGGAGGAGAACCCCCCGTGAGCACAGACAAGACACCCAAAATAGGTTGAGGTTTCCATTGCCTGCTAACTTGAACTTTTTCTTCAGTTTAATTTACATGATGAAAATCTAGACTTCTGCTTATCTTAAGTACAAAAACAATTGAAGTAGAGAAGTTTCTGTAACTTAGCATAATATAAATTTCTATTTATCCTCTACTGGGCCAGGCCGTCCATTTCCCCTGTGCCTTGATTCCTGACTGATTTTCTTTATGTAACCACATTTTAGTAGCTACTGAAGGGAAAAACAGGTTCTCTACCTAGGCAGCAAATACAAAGATCCTTAGATAAACTGTACTGTGGAGAAAACAATACAGCATTATGCCTTTGCAAGGAGAAAACAACCAAGCAAACAAAAAAAAACTCCACAATCAGCAAACAATGCAAACAAGCCACACACTTAAAAATTTTTGTCATATCAAAACTCATTCTAGGGTTCAACTACTATAGCTATTTGTTTTAAGCTGTTTGCAAACATTATTCTGCTTACCTGAGATTAGCTTGCTAAGGTTGATATATCCTTTCCCAAAAAAGACTACAGCCACTTGATGAACAAAGCTAGACTGCTGGAGCAGGTTCACACAGAAAGAGACTACTTCCAGTAGTAGGATCTCAATAATACCACCGTCAAACTAACTTCAGACAGCAGAGAAGCTCACTGATAGAAAAATCACACTTTTCAGCTCATCGCAGAGTTAGTTTCTTGATTTAAAAATTAGGCAAGCTGTGTGTAAAATACTCCTCCTGCTCCAAAAAAGAATGCCAGAAATCTAGACATTAAGTAGCTATCCTGAGATATTCTGGGGTTTAAACCTTCCTGTTTCAGGTATGCATAACAAAGGTAACAGTCCAAAGTTAGTTAAAACAGCCCTGGGGTATTTTTTTCCTCCTCCTTCTACTCCTCCCTCAACATTTCAATGGATTCTTGAAGAAATCCAAGTTTCCCATTGTTTTTTCTTGGTAATAACATGGATCTGCACTCTTCGTAATACCAAACTTCAGAAAAGGAAATAAAAATTAGGTTTGCAAAGAGATGTCACCAGCCTTTTCTGGCTGTTCCCAGAAATTATCTACACTCATAGCAGGAGTGAGAACAAGCAGATCTTCTCCCTGGAACAGATTTTCAATTAATCACATCACTGAATGCAACCTGATAAGCACGCAGGTAGTTCTTCTCTCACATCACTCTCACAAATTCAAATCTATTACTCTCCGTAATAGCTTACGGTGTCACCAAGGGCTTTGAATATTGAACCTGCAATAAAAGCCAGTTCTCTCTTCAAGGGAATCTCAGGACAACTGAGTTGGGTACCTTAAGGTGACAGTTGTGGGGTAGGGTGATAAATTGCTGTGTCTGTCACAGCACTCTTCAAAACACACAACACGCATGCTGAAGCAGTCAATGTGGCACAAAGGGTTTCACAAACAGGTGCTAACAAATAAAACCCAGTTGTAGTATAACTTGTTAAATTCTGAACAGTAGATAGAAATACTGCACTGTTTTCATTTTGTTCCAAGTAAACATCAGGAAGGTGAGTTGAAATGTCATATCTGCTCCTCATTTCACAAGGAAACATTTCCACTTGGTACAGGAAATTATACAACCACTTCCATGGGACTCTGTGAAATAACAGATTTAAGTAAGAGGCACTTTGGTGATACCACTGTGCCAAGACACAGAAACACGTTTTTGAAGTGCAAATAAAACTAATTTATCTGAAGTTTTGCATAATTTCAGCTATTAGCATTTCAAAAAATCCCTCTACTACACTGCCTAATTAAATGAATATTAAACCTTTCCTCATTTCCACTGAGGAAATAGAGCAAAACAAAGGGACAGCTGCTTCTTTGCTGAGCTTCTTTTCTGTAAACTAACTTCAACAACACATGAATAATTCAAGTACTTGATGCATTTTCTACAATGACATCCGCTCTGTACTTGAAAATACATATTTATGCTCTTCACAATCACTTCATCTATCAATATACCTCTGTCTTTATAAGATATTTTTTCAAGCATCTCTCTTCATTCCGAATCTTCATTGAAAGTCTAAGAATAGTCATTGCTAGAATCACAAAAGTGAGCGTTATGATATTCTCTTTCCTCACATAAGTCCAGAAATAAGAACGTTATATGGACCCCTGTAAATAAAATAGTCTGCTACTTGTACTGCTTTGTTTTTCGCTGTTCACAGTTGTTCCTTTGACTAGATGAATACTAAAAAGTGAGAGGTACAAATGACTCCCAGTGAACTAAAAATAAAACAGGGAAGGTGGGGTAAGCTAAGTTCCTGAAACAAGGCCAAATGGCATTTTTTTCTAAGGACAGATTGAGAACTTCACACTACCTCCTAGGTTTTTCTAGTCCGTTCTTATTTCACCACACACAAAATTTTTAAGGAAATATTTTCAAAAACAGAATATTTTGACAAATAACTAAAATTGAAAAAAAAAAAAAAATTGAAGTCCTATTTAACTGTCATTGAACAACACCTCCATTTCAAAATGACTTCCAGACAAAATATTTAAAATACGAAACACAGCCACTTCTCTCATACCACTTCTCTCCTACCACACGTTCCTTCCTTATTCCTTATTTATATGAAGAGGTATTCCTTACCTCTTCATATGCCTCCTTACTCTACTCGAGTGTGCTAAAAAGAATATGTATTATAAAGAAAAAAAGAAGATATCACGTGTAGTTTAGCTAAATAGCATATTAACAGAATAATTTAGTCAGAAAGTGAGATTCAACTCACCTGACATTAAATCAGAAACCAAACCTCAGCCAGTTATCTTCTTCTAAGCAAAGAACTTTTCAGAAATTATATGCTGGTGAGAGGTGTCATATGAAGTTCTATGAAAAAAAAATTTCCAAGGAAAAAAAAAAAAAAAAAAGAGCATAATTTGTCTGGAAAATGAGGTTGCACCCCTAATCTTAACCATCACTGTTTCCTAGTAGACAGCTTTATCTGTCTTCATTTCCTTATTTCCTTTGGAGAAATGCGAAAAACATGTTTTCAAGAATTAGGAGTTACATACAATTTAAATTCTCTAAGCTAAACCCTTCTAGAACATGGTTATGAGTTGGTGGCTACTAAATCCTAACTTCAATTGCAAAACATCCGTAGTAAAGGAATTGCTCCTTTCCTTATCCTCTCTGGCAGACTTGTAGGATGATTCTATAAAACACTCTTCTGGAAAGCACTTCTAAAAGATGGTCAGAAACAAAGTGTGCCAAGTCACCCAAGAGAGACTGCAGAGCCTTACTTCTTATTCTGATATTTCCACTTGAGGAAACCAAAGACTGGCTGGTACATTTTATCAGACTGCTGCAAAACTTACCCAAGGAAGACCATGAAGGTGCCTGCCAGATGTCATTGAGTTGCCAATACAGAGAGCCCATTGTGTGTCCTTCTCCCTTGATTATTTCACTTCGACTAGAACGATAGAATTCAGTTTCTGTCTTAACGCACTGAGCCTGCATCACCTTGAGTCAAATACATTTTAAAAAGTTATTTTACTATACCTTACTTTCAAAATGTGTGTATTTATTCAGTTAACACAGACTTCACAGTAGCAACACATACTTTCAAACACAAATTCCCATTATACATTCAAAACTGTGCACCCAAAGGGCAATCTTTTCTCAGCTGCATTCATGTTTCTTCCCAGCTTCCCCATCTGATCTTCAAAAAACACTCTCAATAATTTTGCACTGGCCACGTTCTCAATAGAAGCTAAATAACCGGTTATTTTCATCACAGAGAGTATTATAATTAGGATGGGGACTTATTAAAGAAGTCACAAAATGAAGGAAAAAGTTACCTTTGAGCTGTCCTAAAGAATAAACATTACACTTCCAGTTAACTGTGATAGCCAACTTTATTCTCCTTGTCATTTTTGCAATTCTGGTGTTCTTAAATTGTTTAACTTCTTAGTAAAGCTGCTACAGATGTCACCCTGCAGAAACCCCCATAGCTTTCTGAGTCAGGACCTCACTGTGCAAGTTTCACCCCTGCTTTCAATTTCACAGCATCATCTATCCTTGTTCTCTTGTCAGCAGTGCTTAAAGCTCTCCAGCTGTTTCAGTTTTATATAAAACTTGCTGACAGCAGCTCTCAAACATCAAAAACTTTGTCAAATGCAGTTATTCCCATCAAGAGCATTTCTGAAATTCTTGGAACACAACAAAAAAGTAACAGCACTTTAAACTTAATAATATCATTTGTAAGTCACAAAGAAATTGCAAGGAAAAAAGCAAGCGTGAGGCAAAACTACTTCAGATGAAAAGCAAAATATAATCCACTGATTAAAAAAAAGAAAAAAAAAAGCATTAATATTTGAGACAACAACAAAATAAAAGCTACTGATGATCACGCAGACAACTACAGCCTCTACAAATAATTTTGTTTCAAAAGCTAATGTATTATGGCAAAAATAGAAGCAATACATCCCCGTGGGCCACATGAAAAGCAAAGCATACGAAGAACAACACAGAGTAGTCCCAGGCAGAGTTGTCTACCAAAAAAGAGCAGAATGTCCCTACATCCCCAGCCAGCAATGTAAGCGTGCCTTGCAGAGGACAGAGATCAAGATAGACACACATCTGACTTTCTCCTGACTAAGCCAGTTTCTGCAAAATTCTCTGAGAAGTATTCCAGATCTTCTTTGATGAAAACTGCGTTCTCTACAGCAAATGAGAGGCAAGCCTGTTCCAAATTATACTGGACTCTCCAATACTCCAGTGCAGAAACTGTTTCTGTGTGACTGAACATTACCTAACAGATTCAACAGGTCCAATTTCAACTACTAATAGCGACTATTGGAACAGCTACTTATACTGAAGATACCACTTTTACCTGAGTGAGGTAAATCATATCTTTAAACTTTTTTATGGGATCTGTGCTCAGGGGAAGCTTGAAATGATATCCAATCTGTTGAAGCATTTGGTCATTGCCATTTTCATGGTGCTGCCGATGGAGAGAGAAATTGCTCATGTACGACCAGTCCTCAGCAGAGGAAACCTTTTAAAAACATAAGTAAAATATCTGAATGATGACTGACAGGTTATTCAGGAAAAGATATCTGTTACAGCCTGCTGGCATCACTCAAAATTATTAAAGAGGGCAATGCATTTTTAGAGCACCTCATGCAGTGAAGCAAGAATTTTTAGTCAGTAACACCGTTTGCTCATACCCTTTGTACAAACACCTGAAAATAGTGTTTTTGAACCTGCTCAAAAGGCTCAGGAGCATGACAGTTTTTTGTCCTACAACTGAATTTGACCACAGGACCTCAATGGTTTGTTTGGGTTCACAGTAAATCAGAAACACTTAATTGAGATGAAAGAATGTACTCTAGTCAAATACATGTAGGCATAAAGTTGCACATTTAGTATGTTTGAAAGTAAGAAGCCATATTCCTTCCAGGCTAATAAATATCAAAAGCTAGCAGGGCTATAAATTCTAGTAATATACATTCAAAACCTGCTACAATAATCTGCCTCTGGAAACAAATGAACATGAAACAGTTGGTTTGGGTTTTTTTCAGCTAAGGATAACAATCCCTTATAGCTCATACTGCTACTACTGTTAAGTTTTTATCATAATTACAATTTCTGTAACATCTGTTATTTAAATTTGTTCTACTGTAGGTCAGACTGAGTTAAAATTTTTCATTTTTGTTCATATGGATGATCATACTGATTATGTCTCAGATAATATACTTAACCCAGAAAACTGAAAGGAACATTTTGAACTCCTTTCAGATGCATGCCTATCAACATGATATTCATGTCTGAACAAATGGACAGAAAAACAGGACGATGCATCTCTGTTTGAACTAGAAAAAAGAAAATCAAACAATATACAGTATCTTGATTTAATAGGAGACAAAACAAAACCCTCTCCAATATTTTTTTCTTTATGTATTGAATATTAGCAAATAAGTTGGTAAAAGCAATGAAAATTCAGCACAAATCAGCACTGATTGTGGCTTTGGTATTTTTAAATGGACCTTCAACACAGCCACAGAAATATGCTAGGCAATCATCACTAAGCTATATATTAAAAAGAATTAATATTAAAATTAATAGTCACATAACATTCTCCATTTATCAGGCACAGCCACCTATGTTTCAATATGAGTGATAACATTGCTTATATTTTACAGATCATACCCAAGGGAAGAAGGACCTGAAAGACAAGTCCACTTGGAATTAAGCTAGTAGCCAGGGTTGGGCAGCAACTTAACATTTTAATCTATACAAGATCCTTGGGCTCTTCAAATGGTGGAAAGTGCCAGTTACTGGTTCTGAACAGAAAATAATTTTTAAAATTCATTTAATTATAAAAATAATCAAGACTGTTTCCTAGTGTTCCTATCATGGCAGACCTAATAAACACCCTTAATTGCATTAAACTTGTTTTTTTTTTTTCTTGCAATGACAAGGCAAATTTTTCAATCACTGAAAGGATACAATCCAGTTTCTTCCCTCCCTCCACAGCTCCACACTTCTATCCCACCTGCCATGTACCACATCTCACACTGCATTATCCCAGCTGCAGTCATGATTTTTTGGAAAGAGATTCACTACCCCCACTAAACGAGAGCAGAGGGAATAATAAGGTTCAGAAGATCAGCCTTACCTTTTCCAGCGTACTGAAAGATGGCCAGGACTGAAACCCATATTCTGAAGCAAAACGAGTTCTAGGATACACTGACCAGTTCCAGCAGTCACTGCTGTAGTCATAAAAGTGAGTGTCACCATAATGCGTGTCATAAGGATTTTCAGCGAGCCAGCCCTCTTTAATTGACTCCAAACCATTGGTAGGACTGGATACAACAAAAGGACGACTTTTATCTTCCTGTAATTAGAAAAAAAAAATAAAACATCACCACTACTCCTTATAAAATGATTGGTTTTTATCATCTGAATATCTGGAATGTATACTGAAAAGGAAGAGGGCAAAGAAGAACAAGATTTTTCCAAATTTCTGAGTCACCACTTAGGAAACAATCCTCTTTGTGAGTCATCATCTTTACTAGCTTAATTAGCCTCTCATTCCTCCTCCTGGAAGACAGTTAGGCATGATGTTGCCTGCTCTACTGTTCTAAGGGATTCTTTTCCTCACATCAAGAGATTCGCTATCTTCATATACTTCTAAATTCTTAATGAAAGCTATTTAAAAGTACGTCTCATGAAAAATAAACCCAAAGAACATTAATATTTGAGAACTGTGACCTCTTTATGTAAATCATTACTTTTATTGTGCTTTTGGAGCAATATCACCATGATTTTCCCCCCTAAATTTAGTCTCCTAAATTTAGTCTCAACAAAACTAAGATATTCTGCTACCAATGACTGCACAGTAGCATTGCAGGTTACTGTCACCGTTGCTGACTCAGCACATCAAAGTAGACAAGACTATACCAGGACTTACATTTAAGATTATTCAGTGCAGCATTTATTTATAACCTCAGCAGATTTAGTGTACAACATCTTTTATCTGTACTCTACAAAGCACCGTAGGAATTGTTCTGCACGTATAATTCATTTTTCACTCTACTTGTAAGACAGAGGCCTGAATTACCACAGTCACAGATTGCAACAACTGGCTCCAACACAGTAGAGTTGTGTTGATACGTGCTTCATTTTAAGAAAGAAAAGAGCCATCCCGCTCCAATATTTTGGATGCGAGTGATTAACAACTAACTGAAGTACAATTTGTTACAGGATACCTTAGATTCCCCAAAGTCTTTAGCTCAGACTTAGAAGTCTTTTAAGTGATACAGTCCTGTTCTGCCAACAGTTACAGATTTCCTCAGTTGGTTTACATTACCATAGAATTGTTCGAGTTGGAAGGGACTCTTAGTCTAGTCCAGCTTCCCTGCAGTGAACAGGGACATGCACAGCTAAGTCACATTGCTCAGAGCCAGCTTGGCCTTGAACGTCTCCACGGACAGGGCTTCCACCACATCTCTGGGTAGCCTGTTCCAGTGTCTCATCACCTTCGCTTTTTCCTTTTATTCAACCTAAATCTCCCCCCTTTAAGTTTGAAACCATTTCCCCTTGTCCTATCACAACCAACTCCGCTCAATAATCTGCTGCTTTCTTTGTTGTAGCTTCCCTTTAGATACCAAAAGGCCACCACCAGGTCTCCCTGGAGCCTTCTCTTCCCTAGGCTGATCAGCCCCAGCTCCTGTAGACTGTTTTCGTAGCAGAGGTGTATTTTACAGAACCTGAAATCATTTAACTGGTACAGTTCCTTCTGACACTCAAAATAGTTAATCTATGGGTTCAAAATAAAGGAGCGTCCAGGCTCGACAAAATAACACACAAGTGGACTGTAACTAAAAAATATTATCACAAGCCAGAATACTTCACTCTGTGGTATGCACACTGGCCATCCAAGTCACGCAGCCAATCACAGAAACACCACAGCATACCTGTACACAACCTCTCAGCTCAAAGAAACTAAGAAATACAAACATCTATATTTCTGCTTACCATTTTGATTGTAAGACACCATTACACTTAGAATGTACAACTTCTCAAGAGCAGATCCTTTCTGGCATGTTCTTTCACTCCACTACCTCATTTTCACTATTTCCCTTTTTCTATACCTTTCCAGCAGAAAGATATCACGAATACCAGAGTACAACTGCTCTGACAATGTCAATAGCCTCTAATAATAAGCAATAACATCACTGTCATGTACATACTGATTGCTGATTGCTTAGCTTAGTGCAAGGGAAAATTTAGATCATGAAGCCCCCATAACATAAAATGCATCTCATCCTGAAAATGACAGAGACTAGCATTATCATATCTTGAAGACAGTAACATCATGCTGGATAACTGGGTTAAGAAAAGACCATTAACATTTTTAGGTTAACACAAAACTCACATTCGCTTGTTCACTAGCCAGGCAAAGCTCTTGCATTTTAATCATTCTGCATGCCTCTTAGCTAAAAGGGGATTTAAGAATACTCATCCGTGGTTCAAGGATCATTTATAATCCCTATACAGATGTGCAGCATCGATTTGGGACTTCTGAATCAATTTTACCCCACATATGCAAACAAAAGTTAGTTAAAAGTAGATTCTATGAAGTAATGAGCTGCAGTACTTCCAATAAGGAAGAGACAACTCTACAAGAACTGTGCAAAATGAGCACTGCCACATCACAATAGATATCATTATTGATTTCAGATGCCTCTGGTCAGCATGTTCATAGTTTAAGTCTTATCTGAACTATTTAGTTTCTGTATACTGTAAAACATCATCAGTTTGTTCAAAACAAATTAAAAAAAAAAACAAAAACTAAAAGCCACGTATGACAAAAACAACATAATGACCAAAGAACATGAGAAGGACAAAGTTTGGCATAGCTTTTGTTTAACCTACTTCAGCCAAACACTTCAGTCACATACTTGGAAAGACACACTGGAACAATATTATTTTCACAAATTTCTTCAACTGCAATTAAAAGATTGAGGGTTGTTAATCCATCTTACAGCACGTATCAACAAAGTCAAGACAAAGGAAATCAATCATCTTGATTAATTAATGGGCAAGTTGATTTACCTCCACTGCAAGTGAAGGTATTTGTGGAGTACACTTAATAGGAAAGGAAAAGGAGGCAAAATCATCTACATTTTCAGGTCATCTTTACATATCACAGGACATTAAAGACAAAAACAATTTTTTGTTTTGTTTTGAGGATGACTGTTGATTTTAAAGAGTAGCTTATGCAAGCGAGGAAAGAGCAGTTCCTCAACAGCATGCTCTTTTTCATTTTCAAAGATTATTTAAACAAAAGAAGAAAAAAACTACACAAAAGCAGAGAAATCCCAAGTAGCTCAAATTGCAAATATTACGTCATTTTGCCAAGTCACCTCCCCCCCCTTTTTCTTGAAATCACTTACAGCAAGAACTATTTCTCTGATGTTCTTCACATAAAGCATCACGTAATCTTTGATATAGACTTCTCTGTCAGCATGTGGTATGGAGAACCAGTTACTTGCAATTGCTGCTTCATTTTCATTGTTACCACTCCACAGAACAACCGATGGATGGGATTTTAACCGCCTTACCTGAAAAACAATTCAGTTTCAGAAGTCAAGGAAAACAATTTATCTTAAAAAATAAAAACAAATAATGATCTATTTGTCACTACTTTAATTACAAGTTCACATGCATATTACAAATGCTACGCCTACAAGTTCCGTGTTTTTATCCAGTCCGTCCACTTTTCCGCCAGTTCCAGATCAGACCCAGACTTTTGTATACTTAGTATCCCAGCACACATCCACCATGCACATTTAGCTCTATCCCCATCTGTTCAGCCACATATGAAGGGTAAATTCTGTGCTAAGACAAGTCGATATCACTAGAGCTTACACTAAACATCCTCGAGAGCAGTTTGGACACGAGGAAGGCCTATACCTCTGCCTCACTACCAGAAGCAAGTTAAAGAGCACGGTTACATTTTGTGTCTGCTATTTAAATGCACACTAACAAATACTTTCAAATAAGCATTTCTAGGATAATGTGTAGGTCCCTCTGAACGTAATGCCTCCTATTTACTTCCACTGAAAATAAAACAGATACAAAGAGCACATTAATACCATTTAATAGGGCAAATTCTCAGCTACAAAACACTCTTTTTCAACAGAGTCACTACCAGTTGCTGTGCATTTTCACTAGTGATGAACAAGAGCCTGCATGCTGCACTTGTAAAAATCTGCAAGGCCAGCTGGAACGTGACTTGTGTTTCAGCAGTGGTGAGACAGCAATGCGAAAGACACCATCTACCACCTCCCTGTGCTCTCACCCACTGCTTGGCCTCCATAAACATTCAACAAGCATCACTGAATGTCACCAGGTGTAATTTTTTCTACATTGAGGAATTCAGTGATACACCTTGGCTTTATACATACTTCCATGTCAAGTGTCTTACTATCAGACTGCCGCTCTGCTGCCATCTGCTACTCGGTAACAAAATGTAACAGAATATTGGCAGGAAGGTTACATCTCTACTACCATAGCACCAACATCCACCTTGATGTCATGGGCCAACATAATGAGGAGGAATTACTTTTGGAGCAGCCCTCATAAATTATTCTTTCAGTCAATACTAGGTTATGATCACACGGACAAAATACCTGATGAGAAACTTCTGCTCTTACTGATTCCAAGTAATCCTGGTCTGTTGGATACAGGGCACATGCAAACATAAAATCCTGCCAAATCTATGAGAAATAAGAAAGAAAATACAAAATAATCTGTTACTAAATCATTTTTCATATTTGAAAAACAGATGCTCACTGGGATGCAAAATACTTTCCCAAAACAGAAGTTATTTATCTAAAAGAGAATTGAACTGAAACGTATCTGTTGTTCTTGAAAAGCATCATCAAAACAACCACACTCTTCGTGGCGTTCAACATGATCATACTCAAATGTGGTTTTCTTCAATATAAGGACTTACAAAATATTCACCCTTAGAAAGTAGATCCTGGCAGCCTTCACTGACAAGTAGATTATTTCTCAATAAGATGGATTTCAATAGGTTTCAACGGAATAATTAGAATCCACGCTCTGTTCAGCTATGACCATGAGGGAGCTTCCAGCTGAACAGAGCAATTTCAAATTTAATGCTTTCCATGTGTAACACCAAATCCACATTACTTACTAAAAGAAGAAAGTAATTCTTGTGATGCGGTACCAAGTACATTTAACAGGTCTTCAAGTACATTTTGTAACAAAATGCTTCCACAACAAATGCACAGACTGATCTTAAAAAGAGCAAATTGTGCTCAGTGAGGCAGAAACAAAGAATCTAGTTTAAGAGCTGGTGATCTCTTCCTTTAAAGATCAAGCAGATACCTTGAGAACAACACTGGAGAACAACAAACTCCTTCATTTGTAACTTAAAGAAGAATTACAAAAAAATTGAAAGGAAGAAGCCCAGTGAGATGGGCAGGATTTCTTGATCTATCTGTCCTGTATTTAATTTTTAAGTGCCATAAATTAAACTCATGATAATCTATCTCAAATGGAAAGCTTGAAAGAGCTTATCAGTATAGTGAGTCCTTTCCAACAGACTACAGTTTTCTGAACATCATTCTACATAAATAACAGTGAGAGCCAGCCCTGCTTCTCATTAAATTGTTCTCCTTGCGATGACATATTTTGCCATTACTTTTCCCTGTTTCCCCCAAAAATGTGTGTAATAGATCTATTAATAATTGTTCCAGTCTAACACTCTAAGAAAAAGCAAGGCTATTGCTGAAGAATTACTAAGAATCTTTCAGTGACTGTGGAATCAAAATTCTCTGTACCAAATTTACTTCTCCCGTTGTTTCCTTCAGTGAGCCATCACTGTTTCTCCTTAAACACAGTTTGACTCTAATGCTCTTTTAAGTCTTCGCAAGACCAGCAGAAGGAGTAAAACTAAAGTCCTCCAGCATCACCCCGCACCAGAATAAGGGTCTGATTTTCTGTATCTACTTGCTATTCTCAGTGCTGAATAAGACCTACTTCTTGCACTGAGCATTGCCCAGGCACAGATCTATATGGCCTACTTAGATTTCTAGTGTCAAAAATGAAAGAACTGCAAGTGCTCAGAAGCCTTGAAAATCAAGGCACACATTCAGATGACTTTTTTTTTTTTTTTTTGGCAAGCACATAAAGCAGAAGGCAGCAAGGTATCAATTTTGTTTCTCTGCTCTTCACTGCTGCAAAGACCAAATGCGCTTCTTGGGATTTTAATACCTGATGCAATTCAGTCTTCACTCATGTAGTCCCCATTTCATCAAAGCTTATTATCATTTATCTCCAAACTCATATAATCAAAAGCTACTCATCTAAAATTACCAATGTTTAAAGCAGGTGTTCCTTTATAGCTATATTTACATTCAATTATAGTTTGTTCAAAATGGCCTTTTAGATAAAGTCTACCATGCAGGCCAGATGAAATTTAAAAAAGAAAATTGAGTAAAAGAAAAAAGAAAAACAACCAAACAAATTTTCATTCATTTCCCGAGCAGAGAAAAACACGACTACTTTCTTTGATGTTTTGATTACTCAGAAGCAAGCACAGAAGTTAAACAGATTAGACCCTAAATTCTCACAGTGATCTGATTCCAAGGTCTCTGCTCTCAAACTGGGGCATATACTGAAATACTCAAGTTTTTCAGCAGAGCTATTCTCACATGAGTAAGTTCCTAATCACAGCTACAGAGGCCCACAGCTGTGGCAGAACTACCATTTGAGTTTGTGAGTAATCCCCCACCCATACGTATTTGTTTCACAGCTATTTGACCAATTGTTGCAAGCCCCCTGTTGATGCCCACTCCAGGACAGTAATCCACAGAAGTTCTTACATAGTGCACATCAACACAGTATAAATGTCTACTCTCTGCATTAAGTAACATCACTAACACCAGTTACTCAGACATTCATTTCTTTCTCTCAATCCATCCCAAGAGAATAGAAAATGTAGAACTGGAGCAGGTTGGAGAGTCTGGGTCTGAACAAAAGATGGAGAGTTCAAGGCACAAGCCTCTAGCTCAGATTCTGGGGAATGTAAGAGCAGAAAAACAGAGACAGCAGGGAGAAAAGGAAGACCAAAGTGAGACTCTGGGTAAAGAAGGGTGGCAGAATAAAAAAATGAAGACCGCAGATTTGTAGCCTTAATTGGAAAATACAAGCTAATATAAACAGTCCAAAACATCACTTCCAGTTTCAGACAGCCTCAGTAATGAGCAAGAAGTTAAAAATATATATATTTACAAAAATAAATTATATATATATACACACATATATATATACATACACATATGAAGGTTTTATCTATAAGTTGTGTACATCCATATATATATATATAGAAGATTGATTCAACTTCTCAGATTGATACTCCACCATGTATCCTTTGGAAAGATGGTTAGAACTTGTGTCAAATTCTCTTACATGACTCATATACAGTAGACTTTTATTTACAAGCTCATATTTCCAAATACACAGCCTGTATTATTATTTTTTTTACCATTATTCCCAGTTCATCGCAAATATCATAGAAATCATCTTGTTCATATATTCCTCCTCCCCAAATCCTGAGTGCATTCATGTTAGCATCTGCTGCAGACTTCAAGAGTAGCCATAATCTGTCAAATACAATAAGAAGATTTACACAACCTTCATAGCAGTTTCTAAGGTTATATCACAAAAAAACCTCAAACATTCATCTTTGAAAAGCAATCAAGTAATTCAGACAGAAGCCAGTCTATTTTGATACCTTCTAATCCTGCATGTCTGGAGAGAGATCTCAAAAAGCAATTTTTTGTGTAAACAAAATTACTTGGTCCTGTAAACACAAAATAGATGAAGTGTCAGCTGCACGAGGGCTGTACCAGTAATGCCTCCTATTTCATTATGTTGACCACAATGTCAGGGACAGATAGTAGTGGTATGGCAGTAGAGGTTGAACCTTCCCACCAGTATTCCATTTTGTTGCTGTGCAACAGATGGCAGCGGAGGGGCAGACTGACAACCTGGAACCTGATATGGAAGTGCATTTGAAGCAAAGGTGTATCACTGAATTCCTCCCATGCAGAAAAAATTGCACCCACTGAAATTCATCAATGCTTGCTGAACATTTATGGAGACCAAACAGCAGATGTGAGCACAGTGAGGTGGTGGGTGGTGTGTTTCAGCAATGGCAAGAGACAAAGGGTCACTTCTGCTGGTACAGATTTTTTACGAGCACAACATGCAGGCTCCTTTTCATTGCTGGTGAAAACGCATAATTACTGGTGGTGTTTATGCTGAAAAAGAATATTTCATAGTTGAGGATTTTCTCTATCAAATAGCGTTATTGTGCTTTGTATGTATTGTAGTTTCCATGGAAATAAATAGATGGCATTACTTCTGGAGTAACTTACATAAGTCCTTTTTAAGTACTGGCAGAACAACGTGTGGAAATACTGTATGTTATTAACAAAGCTAGTCAAAATATAGCATGCCCTCCATCCCACTTCTTGCATGCCATATCAGCAAAATCCAAGAGCAGACCAAATAGGGAAGAGTGAGACTTCGGTGCATTTCTCCATCCCTGCATTAGGAAGTTTGGAACATGGCTTAAGTGCTCTTCCTGTCAGTGTCAACGAGTACATTCCAGGCAATAGGAACAGATAGCCTGAGGATTATTTTAAAAAATGTCTGAAAGGCCAGTAACCTGTGGACAGCAAATAACCACTCTACCATCAGCTATTGCACTTACTAGCATTGAATAACATTCAGATCTTGCAGTGTTAAGTCTTAATTCTGAGAGCCTTAGCCCCAGCAATTTGTGTTCCACTGCAGCAAAAATGCTAAGTCATGGCTTGAAACAGTGATTGAGCACCTGTAGGAAGGCAGGGCCAATCCAGGGGCACTCAGTTGCATGCAACACACCTGAGTGACTGGAAGGGGCGGAGTCAGGATCCACTCCTTCCCAGATCTCATTTAAGGATTGGCAGTGGAGGCAAGAGTATCTTGCTGGAGATCTCTGCATATCTGAGGCCTTCTGAAGGTAAGCAGCTTCTTTCCTTTCTGCGCCCACAGCTGTTGCCTTTGAGTGAATCCTCACTTGCTGCAGCCTGGGACCTTGCTGCTCTGCTGTCATAGCTGCACTTTCTATTGCATTACACCTACCTTGAAAGGAGTCCACCCACACTAGTGTCAACATTTGAAGGGCAAACATGAAGAGGTAATGGTGATCCTTTCTCCTAAGAAAATATCAGATGTGGCTTACGTGTCATAGGTCACTCTATCCTGGAAAGAATCTGCTGGAATCCAATTTGAGCCCTTCATGAAAATGGGTTGGCCATTGATTTTGAAGTAGAAACTCAGACCTGGAGACCCAGGAATAGGCTCCTGAACAAGTTCTACTGTCCGAAAATAGGCCTGTGAAAACATAAAACATAGGTTTAAAGCAGACAAAATAAAATCAAAACTATAACACAAGCAATTGAACTGAATAACTTAAAAGTAGTCAAGAAGTCAGAAGACGTGGCCTCATCTCTTACGGTACTTTTCAAGCAGAAATTAAAAGTGCATTAAAAATTTTTTTATAAGTGTTTGCACATGTATGTGTGAGACAGATGCATGTTTACTTGATGGAAAAAATTCAGTTAAAGTTCTATTTGGAAATCACTGAGAGGAATGTGGGCTGCATTAGATCAGATACACTGTTCTGATATTTTCTGCTTATAGAAGGAGACTACAGAAGCTCTGCTGGAGATCTTGTCCCTAACATCTAGTTTCAGGTTCATCCAGTAAAAGCAAAACTGTATTCTGTTGTTGCCTTGAAATTATAACTTTTAAGAGATATGCATTTAAATAAAAATGCTAGTTTGAAAGTGAAGGTCTCTCTGGCCTTAACAGCTGTATTTGAACAGTATGCTCACCGATCTGGTTTCTCAGAGACCAGTTTTGCTAAACAGTCACCAACTCTGCGTAAACTATTGAAGTCCATTCCAGATTCAGGTAGATGCCAAACTGTCTTCTACAGCTGCTCTTTCAGCCTAACATCTGCAAACACTGGGGGAGGATGGGGGGAAATAAATAGCAAAACATTCCTCCTAACTGCAGGTAGAAGATGACTTCCCAAGAAATCATTCTGGGTGTTTTAGGACAGTTCATCTCAGCTAAAGTGACAGTGCTGTTCTGAAGAGGTATATCAATTGCCACAACACACAGGCAGTACCATGAAGCAGTACGAGATGGACTGCAGTAACACATTGCACCAAACCCTTATTTTGCAGAGGTATCTTCTCCACCTATTGCGTTTGGATCCAGTGCAGTTGCAAAGTGTTACAGAATACACTTCTTTCAGGAAGATTTTCTAGTACTTTTTCCCCTCGCACCCTTCTTCTGCTTTAACTTATCTGGATCAGAAAGAATTTTTTTTTCCTTTTTTCTCCTTCTGGTACCTGTTGCTCATTATCACAGGGAGAAATTTGGGAAACTGAATAAAGTGAATGAAAGCAAACAGAAAATTTCAGCCAATGCACACTAAGCAAAAAGTTTGGAGCTGGACCACAGGAAACTGTTTTTGTCTAGGCTACCCTTAAGCTAGCACCCACTTCTTTCTCAAATGACTGTTTACAAGCTGACCTTATGAAAACATAATAGCAGAGTACAAACTGTTCTCTCTCTGCTTTAAGATACATTTGGGACTGTATCTGTCTGTCAACCCGGCTAAATTTAACCTAATTAAGTAACTGATATGTCTGCCTTTAAAATGAAATGTAATGCTTAATTTCACACACCAAACAGTTCTGTAGTTAAACTGGGACGTAACTAATCCCACTATGTGACTGTGATTATTAAATTTTTAACTTATTAATAATTGTTTAGATTGGAAATAATTTTCCCGTCTGAGGCAGTAAAGACAAAAAACCTTGGGTTTTTTCTTGCTTCCTCTTCAGTGCTTCATAGTCAACAGAACAATGATTAATTAAATCCCTGGACAGACGCAATGCAAACTAGGTGCATGAGTGGAGACCACAGATCGCTCACCTCAAACTGAATCCCTGTGCACTGTGGCAATGAACATACAAATTAAAAGAAAGAAAAAAAAAATACTGTACCTCAGGTCCTGTAGTGTTGTACAGCCTTGCTCTAAGGGTAACAGTAGATTAAATGCAAAAGGATCTCAGCATCACCACTACTGTAAAGGATCAACACTGAAGAAATTCCCAGTGACAGAAAAAAACCTCACAAAAATCATACCAGTGAGAAGACACTTCTGGTTCCCTGGCCAATATTTCTTAGCTCAGAGAAATTCTTAGCACAGTATCCAACCTCTACCTCTTTTCTACTGCGATCCTTCTGCACAATGGGTCAACTGAAAACAGATCAGCACGATGAACTTAGCTTTAGGACAGTAATCTTCCACCCATTCATAGAATTTTGCATATATATTCTAGGCTGAGAAGTTTAAAAAAAAAAATAGTAATCATACAACTCTCACCATTCTAACTGCTGAAGACTGAAAAAAAAAAAAAAAAAAAAAAAAAAAACCCTACATCATGAGTACTACACTAACTTAAGAATTCTGACCTTCCTTTAGTGAACTAAATTACTTTGAGAAAAACCCTTTAGTCTCTAGTGCAACTCTTTTTTTGTGGCACAAAATGGAATGAGATTTATAGATGTGTATTTGGGAGGTCCTCTTAATGGTTGTCATCAGGCAGGTTGAGACTGTCTCAGAGTGCAGTTGTAGTGGAGTATTTATATTACTAACAGAAGTAATGCGATATGCTTTATTCATCAAGTGGAACTCATGCAACTGGCCAAATCAGAGGCAATTTGTTAGGCTGGAACACTCAGTCAAGACCACCCACACAGCACAAGTGCAGGGAAAAGCTCCTCAGCCCCATCTCACATTTCTGGGATCCCAGAGTCTGATGACTTTGTGCTCCCAAACCATTGCTTCCCAGGGGCACACCTGGGAACACAGCACCTCTTCCCATTCTTACTGCAGCTTTCTTCTACCAAGCAGAGTCAAAGAAAGTCAGAGGGGAACTGCTAGGATCTGGCATACTCGATTATGCATCCTTATGGCTCTGACCACGGCAACTTTGCAATGTGCATCACATACCTTGCTCTCCAAAGACTGATATTAATCCCAGACTTGGATCATGGAGAAGAAGCTTTCTAGCCACCAAAAAGCAAACACTTATCTGATTCTCTCAACAATTAAGAAACAGATATGTATCTTTGAGTCACATACAAGGGGTTTGTACCCAATGGCTGTGGAACCAATTGGTGTTCTTTGATTTAGCACTAGGAAAAGTAACAAGGACAAAGACGCCCAGACCTGAAATAAGATCACAGAATGCCCTAGTGATCTAACTAACTAGCATGCAGCATGGAAATGTGTGTGAAAATTACCAAATCAGGCGGAGAGGCTTTTGTAAGTCACGTTAAAAGGCCTGGGGGAGAAGTGGGTATAGAGACACAGAAGGAACAATGGTTGGAGGTTAAGATCCAAGTACTAAAATAGTATCATGAAATAATGAAATATACTGCTGAAGAAATAAGTATATAGAAAGATGGAGAAACTGATTCCAAAATCAATTAAGTGCCTCAAAAGACAGTGAAAGAGATACTAAAGAATACTGAAAGTATTATACTAAAGTATAAGAGATACTTTTCTTCTTGCCATGCCTACATCAGTGAATTTATCAATAGCAAATAGAACTCAACCTCTCTCAAGAAAAGCCATTTCATTCTAAGGCAATTTCTGTCTATGACTTTGCTTTATATTATCTGAGAAACAAAGTCCAACATAGAGTATTCAAACAGAAAACCAAAACAGAAACCCACGTCATCCTGGATGTTGGCTCTATTCTATTTTGTTTTTCTGCTGCTCTCAATGGCAGTGTGTAGGTACTTCTTCAGTCAAAGGGGGTCAGCAGAACGGGCCAGAGCCCCAAAGGTCTCTGCAAGCACACGCTGGGAGGCTACCCAGAGGATTTCCCAAAGGATTAGCTAATGTTTTGGAGACTAACATATAAAAAAAAAAAAACAGAAGAGTCCCTGCTAAAGACAGTTGGATTAGATAAGATTCACACTGCATATTCTTACTTACACAGTTGTTACCCTTTAGCTTTTGTTTGTCCAAAGATATGCAGATACTCTGAATCCATACAGAGACATAACATTCAAAAAACATTTCACATCTATTAGTTGCTCACCAGAACGCAGCACCAGGTTCCCAGCAAAAACCTTACAGAAACTTTCAGAAATGTTTGTCACTGCAAGTGTTTCCTGAACTATCCAAAGTTTATTCAGTTCTGCTGACGTGAGGACAAACTGTGCTAGAAAAAAACTGCATATGGAGCCTTCATTCACGTGTACAGCTCAGGGCAGGGATGTGTCAAAATCCAAGACAGAGACTCAGAGAACACATGAAGGACAACTACACTTTGCACTACGAATCTATAAAGTCTTCGTATGTGGTTAATTAGTAATGCCAGCAATGCAGTGCGTTTGCTCTTTTCTGCCTTTCCCTTTGAGGAAAAAAAGGCTTGTAAATATCTTTTGCAGACCATTAAACCCCTGTGACCATATGCCCTATGGATCTATGAAAAATCCTGATGGAATTACCCAAACTGAAACAATTTCCCTATGAGGAAACTTGCAGCTTTTACACAGTAATAATGTGTTTATTTGTTTTTAAATACAGGCTTTTAGACGTATTTCCTACTTATTTTCCCAAGCACAATACACTGTGTTTATTTAGTATGTTTTTTTTCATTTTTTTCAAGATTTATCACCGAAAATAGCAAAGAACTATTCCTAGGACCTCATAATCAACCTTACTTCTAGCCCTATAAAGTCTGAGACTCCAGAAGCTCCTGTTTTTGTAAGGTTTTCTATGTGAACAAACATTATAGCAAATAGCAGTTTTAGATGCCTGGTGACAAGATTTTAGTGAAGCAATATACCTCAGAACCATCTAATGCATATGTTTACGTGGTTGTTTCCACATGTTAATGGCATAAGGGGCTCAGTCTTACTCATAACTGCTTTTTTTATTTGTTTTTCTCCAAAGGATAGTGGGAAATTGTCTCTTCTGAACTTATTAGTAACAACAATCAGATAATTATACAGCCAGTATGTTGCAGAAAACCTTAAGCAGATAACTTATCTCTAAATATTACTTTTCCGGTCAGTTTTAAGATGTTACCTCTTCTAGAACTTGAAGCACTTCTATCACATTCTAACAAATGAAATTTAGAAGTTTTAGAAGCTTCTTAAGATTACACCAATCCTACAATTTTTTTTAATGTGAATTAGCAAGAAAAGTTCAATTAATAAACCTTCCCCAACATTTATAGTTTATAGAAATGTAAATGAGCTTTCTAGTACACAATATAAAAACATCACCACAACTGATCAAGTTTAAAGGAGAGTTTTGGGTTTTTTTAAATAAAAAAAAAAAAAAAAGGAAGAAAGGTTAAAGATCTTTCCCTTTCTGATGTTTCCAACTATGAGCCATCTTCTAGTCTGAATGAAAGTAAAGACTCCTATGAAGGCTAAAGCTACCACAAAACAGGTAAACATATATTGTGACATTAAGAAAAACCCTTGTTTCTCATCAGTGCTTTCGCATGCATATTATAATCCAGCAAAACAATTCAGAGCTTTAGATACACGACATGTGGAGCAATGCCAGCTATAAAACAAACTGAAGGGCTCACTTTTGAAATTTTCTCAATCTGGTATCCTCCTGCCATGATGAAGGTTGTTGTCACATTGTATCCAATTTGTTTTCCATGTCCATTTGGCCACCAAGCTTCTACTGTAGAGTTCTTGAACATGCGAGAGGAAAAAGCCAGAAGGTTTTTATGAATAAAGACATAGCACACACCTGGGGGCTCAGCTGCCTTTGAGAGACCTGATGAGTTTATGTGCCTCAGCTGAGCCAAGGTAAGTGGGCTTGCTCCAGCTGAGGCACTGAGGTGAAAAGTGGTCAAAGTGTGATTGATCTCTCATTTGTGTCTCAGCTACTACTTCACTTTGAGTCCACAACCGGCCATCAGCATGTATATGCGTGCATGTGTGTGTATAGACAGAGAGGATGGCTGACAGAACATTTCTCCAAAACTCTAATATCTGAGTCTCAGAAGCAGACACTGCTTATTAGCCTCTATCATACCCCTCATCTAATTGTCCTCTTTACCTATTGTATGCAAAATCAGATTTACAGGGGTGACATTTTTCAGTTGTGACCTCGGTAGTATGTGGGCAGACTGTTTCAAATAAGAGGTTTCATTCACTCATTTCACTGCTTTCTGCTTTTTATCTGTGCTTCCTAATAATTTCAATAGTACTCCAAGATTTTCACAAACATAAAAGAGCTACCTTTAAGATTTAATTTTCTCATTTTTCTAGACAGAGAGTAATATTTATATAAATAATTTCCTACACTTACATGCATTTTCATTCCAATAGCCTACTTCTGCTGCTCAGTCCTATTGCCAACATTTGCCAGCAAATATTTCCACAACACAAAAATTGTGGAAAGAAAGCAATAACGCGTGCAATCAAACAATGCAGGGATCAGCACTGAATAGAGTCATGAAAGGAGTGCCTCAATCTTTCTGTATAAAGGGAGACCAGAGAGCAGCCCAACAATATGTTTTGCTGTAGCCACACTTGGACATAATAATTAACATATTTAGAAATATTTCAGCTTCCTTGGAGTTATCATAACTGCTTGTGCTGAAGTGCTGATCTCTGAATTGCATGGATACAGATGGCAGCACAGAATCATCATGTGCCCCAACAGCAAGGGAGCATTTGCAGCCACCTAGGACAGCTGGAGTGCTTCATTGGCCAATAATGATGTCATCCTCACCATTAGCTGATAAGCAAAATACTGTCACATTAGCAACACAGCACTTTGTGTGGGGATTTCTATATAAGCATCTCAGCTTATATGCACCACTCAAGTACCTACCGACTTTCTAACATAATTTGCAACAAGCTCTCAACTAAAAACAAATTTCTGGTGAGGTCTCACTATTTAACAAGCACCTCAGAAGACTGTCGTATGGAGCAAGGGCTCCTTTATGCTCGTCAATATGTTAGAACACATTGCAGGGCTTCTCATAAAATCAGCTGCCATGAGTTCATGCAGCAAAGCCCTCCGTGTACAAAGAATAACAACACACTGTTGCTTCTGCTCTGAAGGAAATGCTTCCTCACAAGCTCACAGTTATACCCCACTAACAGATTTCTTCTGAAGTTGGGGGTGGGGTGATTAAATCAATCACTTTTGAAGCTTCACATTGTCATGCTTGCACAGTGTAATCCCTGAAAAGGCTAAGAAGAGACTAATGATTGCTTAAAATTCATCCAGGTATTTGTAATTACTCACACAACTTGCACATCTGATGATAAAAGTAATAAAAATCGTATGTTTACATGCTTTTCTGCTTTACGTCAAAATAAAACAAAGCACATCATCAGGCAAATCACTGAACATGCATACTGAGGCACAAATGTCCTGTTCATTTTTAACATGCTTTTTCTCCACTGAAGCAACTGACAAGGTAACTTAGGGATATGCACATAAGACATTCAAACTGGGGAAACAAATGCAGTTACATAGCAAGAGAGAAAATTTTTGGTAAAGGCCAGCATAACATCCAACAACTGTCACAAACGTTAAGATGTTACTAAGTGCCAGGGCTATCTGAAGCCCCAGCCTGCTTGCCCACAAACTTGGCTGTGCCCTACGGCAGCAAAGCAGACAACAGGTCCTGCTTGGCTCCAAGGGACAGCAATATCACAGGCAGCTGGCACTGCCTTAATCTTAATTACATCTATGTCATAAAACTCAACACAGTTTCTAAAAAACCACAAGAACTCAAGAAGGGAAATAATGCTGGTGATTTAAGCCTGCCATTGGATTGTTTCCCAAAACTCTCTGAAGGTGAGCCCATCCTTTTGTCTTCTATCTCTGGGGTGTATAACAAACAGTAGAGTTCCCTCTTCATTAGAGCTTTCTCTAACCTCCAAAATTCCTTCTAGCCCTTGCCTATCCAAAGCCAATATAAGGAATTACTACACAAAACTTCCACCAACACTACTGCCAGTCAAGTTCTTCACATGGTTCTCTTGCTTTTATTTACATGAAAGAATATTTACTGAGAGGTTTGAGGAATGTTTCCTCTCTTTCCTTTGCATTATATTCCAGTCCCAATCAACCAGATAAACAATGGCATGAAAGACAAGACACCTACTGCCAGAAGAGTTAAGTGAAATATGGCACACAAAATTTATGGCCATGAGGACATGATCTTTTTGTTTTGTTCTGTAATAAGGGAAAGGCTTCAGCATCTTTTTTGATGTTGTGCTACACAGATTAAAAAAAAAAACAAAAACAGCTTTTAGTGAGGGAAATAACTTTTTTTCCTATCCTGTAAGGGCTACAGAACTTGTCAAAATCAGGAGCAAAGAAAGAAAGAAGAGGGCGAAACTGATATGGAAGCAGAAAGACCCATTGAAAACCAAGTGCTACAATACAGTTTGCATTTGGCTAGAGCTCTCATGCACAGCTCCTTACCTTGCTGATGTTTACAAGCAGCACAATACTGCCTTCACCAGGTTGCAGCTTCACACTGTATGTTTGCTGTGTTTGCAGTTTGGGAATGTTCACAGTTGCAAGACCTGCAATTGGCTTGGAGCCGACTACATTAAAGATGGACTCAATTTCGAGACTCCACTGCTGAGCTCTACTCACTTAGTAAAGGGGAAGAAGAAATGGGAATACAGGAACTGAGTGTATGTATCTATTAGTTAACATGATCTCTCATCATACAAACAATTTAAATAGCTCGGATTAAATTTAACAATTTTCAGGTAGTGTTTGAGCCAGACCTACAAGGTTAATCTTACTTAGTGCATTTGATATTAGATTAGATTTTCTGACTTAGAATGGAACTATGTAATGTGATTTATATTTTATAATGCTTTTCATTCCAAAGCTATCCAGGGCTTTTTCAGAGTTTTGTACAGAAGTCAGAGAATATTACACCAACCACTTTATCATTAGGAAAATGTTTCTTTGTTCTACCTACTCCCTCAGACATTATATTTGCTTTTAGTCAGCACTCATACGAACATGGTACTCTTTAGGAAAGATCGTAATCACAAGGAAGTACAATCACTTTTGTCTATGAAACAAAACCAGTATTAACAGAAACTGACCCAATTTACCCCAGAGTCACTAACCAAAATGAATGGAGTTATGCTGGGAATGAATAGGGCCCACTGTGTCTAGACTTGATGGGCTCTATCATTATATCCTTCTGCTCTTAAAGTTTGGTGGAGAAAGTAAGTCAACAACTTGCCCAAGACCTCTCCCCACCGCTACCTGAGCAAGCCATCTCCTTTACAAAACGACTTATCAAACAAAGCAAGCCAGGGTCAAGGTTACTCAAGTCTAATGTTTTAATTTCTCACTTATCCCAGCAATTATATTATCTATGTACAGGCACATCCTGGCTACTGCTATATTCATATATAACAGATGAATGTCTATAAAGCAGAAAACAAGGAAAACTAAAACTGAGACACACTTTGTATCCATAAGCTGCTCATCACATATTTCACATATTCACACATTCTAGCTCTCCTTCCAGGGAAAAAGAGCTTCCTCCAAAACCAAACAACTACATTTGGCCTTGCTGTGACTTTTACTGCATTTTTTAGAACTACAAGCAGTGAATGGGTTTGCAAGTTTGTATTGCATCCAGCGTTACCCAAGGAAGATGAATTTTCAGAAATGTTGGAGGGTTTAAAAGATAAACCCATGCAAACTACCAGAAAGGTTGGTAGTTACAGAGCATCTTCCCTTCCATCCAAGAGAATAAAGAAATTCCAGCCTACCCATTTACTGCTGAAATGCGGAATCTAGGCACAGAAATCAAGAACAGTGAATCTTTTACAGACTCAGTGGTCAAAAGGCAGTGACACCAGATCTGTTGAGCAATGTAAGCACATAGCCAGTTTAAATTCAAGTTGTTTATTTATTCTTTATTTTTCAAATGTTATTACGTATGGATACTCATATGCTGTGGCTCTGGTATCAAAATACTCTCCGTGGAATGAAAGAGGTTTGCTCTCTAAGCTACTCAGATAGTAACACTGCCTACCAGAAGGTGGAGTTGTGGGAATGTGGGAGGGACCAGAAAAGATTATTACTGTAATTAAGTTCTAGAGAGCACAGAGCCAGTGCTGGGGCTTTCCATGGAAATTCCAGTCACGCTAATTCTAACTAAGATCTGCAGCTATTTCAGAAAGCTTTAAAAACATTCAGGGAGTGACGTCTTCCTCTTTTATTCCTACACAAAAACTCTGTTCCCAAGGGCTGAAATTCAACCCAGTGCAGAGAACTCACGTGCTAGCCTTTACTCCACTGAAGACTGGGCTCAACAGGCAGTGAAAATGTGCAGGTGGTTTCCAATGGGCTACATTACCTTTTGCAGAAAGTTCTGACAGAAAATTAACTACTTTGCTCAGCTGCAATAATCTTCAAGACAAAGGAGAGGAAAATCAAAAAACACATCCAGGGAAGAAACCGGTTGGGTAAGTTAGATAGCAAGAATGCAGAAGGTTGTCCTCTCAAATTGCAGCCTTAACAAATTACCACAGTATAAGAACACTGCTCTTCTGCCTCAAGCTTCATATTGTGCCCTGAAAATTCAGTGCTCCTGAAATTCTGCTTGCTCTGCATTTGCGTTCCCAACACTGAATTAAATTTCCATAGTAGCTTTGTCTTTGTTTCAAATGGAGGTGCAACAGAAGTGAGACTCATTCATTGGGAGTAAAAATACATGCCAACAAAATAATTTTTCTGAAACAGGTGAACTGGGACTAACCTCAGTTACACTATATAGTATTTCTTAAGTTATTCTGTGATCTTCAGGCATAAAAAGATTCTAAATTCTAACATTTTAATCAGTACTGTTTGTACTAAGTGCTGGTTCAAGACCTAAAAGTGTGTGCTGTGGTAAGCACAACAAAGTGACAATAAAGCCACAGAACCTTTTTCTAAATGAACAGTTAATCTGGCTTAACAATAAAGTGGTTTGTTTTCCAGAGGTGAAAAAATAATAAAAGGTAGTAACGTGACTTACCAAAGAAAGGAGTTAAAGAAAAGTAAATCAAATGATAATGGTTATAGGCCTCAATCCTCACATCTTTCCAGATTCCTTGAGTGGGAAAAGAAGGGCCCCAGTCCCAACTAAATGAACACTGCTCCTGGAATACAAAATAATTACACTATAATTGTCTATTTTTCACACAGAAACTGATGCTGAAGCAGAAATGAGAAGTATTTGTTATCTAGAAATGAAATATTATCATGTAGTGAAAGAATTTTTCCAATTTTCTTCAATTTAGAATAGCCTACAGTATCTTTCCTTTTACTCAGAACTCTGTTGCTACTACCTGTATTATATAAAAATACAACTTTGTATTAAATTTCCACATATGTTAAAGTTTAGTATTAGTAAAAGAGTAAAACACTTCTCCCAACAACTAAAAATAAAATGAAATGTTAAGATGGAAAAAAATGAAGCCAGAAAGTTACTTTCAGTTCTGCTCTGAATTGTCTTAGTTTTAAGGTCAATATTTAATTTCATAACTAAAAGACAAAGTAAGCAGAAAGCAAATCATTACCAAGAGAAGCTCTGGAAGAGAATGATTAAACATCATGGGCATATCTAAACTATTTTAACCTCTGTTTTTCACGGTAACACCATAAATTAGTACAAGGAAAGAGGTGTGCATGTCTGGTTATTTGTGCAGTTCAGTTCTGTTCACTGTTGTTTTCCCCTTTTTTGTAGTTCCTTCATACAAAAACAAAGGGAACAAAAACACGGTTGAGGAATATCCTAGTTTTGATTCTAAGAGAATAACCATCTGAATTATAAAATGCTTGCTGGGCACAGAAGTGCTTTCCATTTAGCTGTTTTTCAAATGCAGTGAGATCTCTACTTAACAAACCCCTTGAAGACATCTATTCAGCTGTCCTCCAAGCTTCGCAAGCCCCAGCCCTCAAAGCAAATACAATAGATCTCCTTAAAGTCTTGTAGAGTGACCTATAGTTCTAAATTTAGAGACTAATAACTTGCAGCCGAGGCATACTAATTTTGGCAAACCACATCGCACAAGTCTGGCCTATCCCCTGCACTGCTGGAGTCAGTCTGCCTGCCTATCAGGTTGCAAAACAGCCTTCCAGGAAGCGAGCACTGCACCCATTTCAAGTGTGAAAACAGGGACAGTGCATTCTTAGAAAACAAATCAGATTGAAAGCAATTTTCCCTTTACACAACATAAGCAAATGAATCACTGATGGACGGTCAGGTTTCACTAATAATACAGCAGAGAATATCAGAAATAATGTGGTAAGAACAATATACTCATATCACTAAAAACTGTTTACTAGAGAAAGAGTTGCGTTTCACCACAGATTGGTGTTAAGATTTAGATACATTTACTGCACTTAATGCTGAACCTCGAGCATGCACTCAGTTCTCCATTACTACAAGATGATAAGCAGCCAGCTTCATTTAGCTACGTTCTAGTGTGTTTGTTCCCTTTTAAATGGGACACAGTTACTGCTTTTACCACATACTCGAAACTAAAAATGTTTCAAATGTTTCTGGAAATGTCTGTAGCAGTTTCCAAGAACAGTCAAGCTCCTCCTTTGAGAAAACGAATGAAAGTACTTTTGTGCAAATTTTGAAGTATAGTTCAGTAAAGTACAAAATAATTCCTGGCCATTTTTGTTCTATAAATAAGATTACAGCTGCTCAAGTGCCTTCTTCCTTTCAAGCTCCTCCCTGAACTGATTTCTAAGAAACATAGTGGAGATAGCATCAACTTTCTGAAATGCAATAAAAATAAAAGTAGCAACAAGTAGTGATACAGACAGCATCTTAATACTGATGTATGTATGCACAACATGAAATTCAACTTTCCATTAATAAATATAAAGCAAATTATACCCATGTTTAGATTAACAGGATTCTCCTTGCTTTTTGAGAGGCTTCTGCAAGACCTTGTTAAAAAAGTTTAAAACTCCTTAAAAAAGAAAGGCATTTAAGAGGAGACAAATATGCAATAAATAAATAAAAGCAATTCCAAAGTAATGCCTTCTATTTTATTACACTGGCCCATGATGGCAGAGGGGGATGTTGGTGGTACGGCAGTAGTGGTTGAACCTTTCCATTGTTACTGTTACATTTTGCTGCTGTGTGACAGATGGCAGCTGAGGGGCAGACTGACAACGCAGCACTTGACATAGAAGTGCATACAAAGCAAAAATGTGCAACTCAATTCCTGCATGCTGAAAAAAATCGCACCCATTGACATTCATCGACATTTGCTGAACATTTATGGAGACCAAACAGTGGATGTGAGCATAGTGAGGCAATGGGTGATGCCTTTCAGCAGTGATGATGGTGAAGTGAAAGACAAGCTACGATCCAGACGGTCAGACAGATTCTTATGAGCATGGCATGCAGACTTTTGTTCATCACTGGCAAAAATGCATAGCTTATGGTGGTTGAAAAAGAGTATTTGTAGCTGAGAGTTTGCTCTATTAGATGGTGTTTCTATGCTCTTTGCATGTGTTGTGCTTTTCACGAAAATAAATAGGTAGCATTATTTTTTGAGTGACCTACAGAAGTTCACCTGGCCACCCTCTCTCCCTGGCTTCTGCAAAGCTGTCACAAATAAATGAGATGCTATACAAATTATAGAGAACAGCAATGAAGTCAGAGTTTCTGACTTTTATTCTTTGTATATTATTGTTGGTTTCACTGAATACCTACCTAAAATTCACAAGGTAATAAGATGCAAATAGGTCCTCTATTAGATAACACTTTTCAGGACAGAACTGCCCAGTATAAATTGTAAGAACATGAGCAAATAGCAAACACTCATAAAGCTGCTTGGCTGAAATGTTTACAGCCTTGGCTATATAAACTGGTATTTGTAACAGGGAATAGTGTCAGTATATCTTGCTAAATCCACCCAGTGGATTGAAATGTAATGATTACACATTTTTCAGTGCTACTCTGCTCTCTTAGCAGCCAGTCTCCTTGCTGACTCCTCCATAAAAAAAAATAAAAAGCCTTTTAAAAACTCTTACCAAGTAAGTGTGCTTAGCCTGGCCTTCATACACCTCCTGTATTACCTGCATGCTTGGTTACAGGCTTCTTAGGGATGCAGCAGAAAGAAATTACAATGAAAAATACATCCTATTAATAAAATGACATTGAAGGTTTCGGAATGCATCTGTAAGGATAGCAAATAGCACATTTCTCTCCTCATGCCTGAAGCCAAAGACAGAGAGTTCTTTACCTACCTTTCTGATGAAATTAGCATGGCACTCGCCTTTCTGCACAGGTGGAGGGCACGCTGGGGGGACGCTGTATGCTTTGTGACATCTGCTCTGCTCTGCAGCATATGAAATGGCTGATATGAAATGGACTTGAATAAAATTGACCTCCTTGATCATGCTGGTAATATCAAAGCTCTAGGTTAAGAGAACAAAGCAAAATCATTACAGCACTGACATTATTTATGAGACTTATAATCACTGTCACATTGGGGTTTTAATACCATATGGATATTATTCAAAAGCATTTGATCTACAGCTTCAGCAGGCTCTCGGTTTTGAAGAAAAGAAAGGTTATTCCTTATTGAAAAAACAAAATGCACAGTAGAATTCTAGATACAAAAACCTGTCTGGACAAACTGCTTTGCCCATGCTGAGTCCTCGCTGCAGGCTTCAGCAGTATGATTGCACACTGAACTGCTTGAAGAATGAGGACGGCTAGAGAATTTTTCCCCTCCTGCCTCTCTCAGAACTCATCTGCATTTTTTTAGAAAGGCACTTTGTTCCAAATCAGAGGGCTGCTCTATACACTAACTCACACTGTGCTGCCAACTTCTCTATCACAAGCCGCTGAGCTGACTTTTGCATGAATGCCGCAAACTTGTATTTTACACCACATCCCCTCCCATCCATAACACTTACAGACACTCATCCCACATTAGCACCTCACAAAGAATTTGGGGGCTTCTTCATTGGCTCACAAAGGCCTCTTCAGTGTGGCTGGATAGAGGGGTAAACATTCAGTTTCAGAATTGTTCTGTGCTTTTAATAACTAACACTCATTTCTTCTAAATAGTGTTCATTGTAACAAACCAAATCTTAGTTATTTCTTCCATTTGTGAACAGCCCAGCCAGCACCACTCACTTCACTTTTATAGCATACAGCACTACCCACACAGAGCCTTCATAGAGACCTTCCTGAAGACAGTTATCATGTGCAAAAATGTGAACAAAGCAGAAACGCAGGTCAGAGCCATCCTAGACTCAATCTGATACAGTTAACTCTGGTTATACACCGAAGGCCATTTCATGAACTGTAACAATCTGATACAGAATGAAGTCCCAGAAATAAGAGCAAACTAATATCACATTCCAGTACTACACAGCCTGCTACTAGCAGTCCTTTAAATACTCTCCAAATATTGCATGATTTCTTCAGAGCCATATGAAAACTCTCATTTCACAGATGGCAACACTAAGTCACAGAGAAGCTGAGTGATTTGTCCCAGGTCACAAAGACTCAGGTGGCAGAATCTAGCTCTCATGTCTCAGTTCAGTACCCGCAATAAAACCTGCCAGAATGGTAAATGCAGAGATATGAAGATACCAGTTTTCCATTTTAACTAAATGACTCCACTAACAATTTTCTTTGTTTTTGATTCCCTCAAGAGAAAGGCAAGGATCAAATGAGGATCTATTTATGCTACTACTCGGGAACCGTTTTACACTTTAAAGCTATAAAATTAGTTTGGATGCTTTTGCCACTCTCCAGATCATTCTATGATGATCTTCATGCCCCTGTGGGCTGAGCTGGAAGATGTAGCAATGTCATCAAAAGCCCAATACTAAATATCAAAACTCTGTATAATGGAAAGTAATGGAAACCCTTATAAAAGTTTTGTACCATGTGTATTTTTAATTTCAGTATTCAAAAGTGATCCATTCTAATAGCAACTAGTAAGCAGATTTACAGCTAATAAAAAAGACTTAAGCTTAAATTTTCTTAGAGCTGTGACAGAATCCAAGAAGCAAGATTTGCATTATTAGCTAAACCGACCCTCTTGTGTGGGTCCACTTGTTTTGAGCAAGACATAGTTACATCTAGATCTGATCATGCTGCTACTGAAAAGGCAAGCACGCTTCTCTTCCCAGCAGTTATCTGATTATATGTGCAGTCCTCAGGTCAACACTTCATGGCTCTGAGCACCTATTTGCATGCATACTTAAAGCACTGAAGGTTTTCAGCATAGAATGGCTTTAAATGAGAAATGAGGCACTTCCAGAACTAAATGCATTACTTACGTATCTGTTGAACATGTTGTTTGTTCTCCCAAGAGTGACATTGTTGAGCAGGATGTGTGCTACTGTATCTACTCCCTCAAAAACCAGGTTCACTTTCTGCCACTTTCTACAGAAATCAACATACACTTAAAACACTGTTAGAATACCTACAGTTAACAATGGTCAGAAAACAGATAATGTAAACATGTATGCCTCAGTTATTATTAGCAACAGCTATATCAATCACATCCAAAAATGTTTGACTTAGTGAGGCTACATTATATCTCTAAATAATCAGATGAAGATGACAGCTGAAGTGGCTCAGAAGTCTGCAACACCGCAAGTTCACATACCCATGAAATACCAGATTGGCTAGCTTCCAATCAGCTGAAGTATTATTCTTCCACAGTCGGCAGCACCTAAGTAATTTTTAACAATGAAGATAAAAATGGGAAAAAGCAACCTCTGCAGTGTCCTTTGGCAACAGCTGTGCAGCTGTACACATTGCATAATTTGTCTCATTAGATACAAAAGTATTAACCAGATTTTGAGCCGATGGATTAACCAGAAATTCTGCATGAAGGATGTCACAAAACTATTTTAGACACATCCTTATTGCATACCTGACATCAAAAGGAGTTTTGAATGTCTTGCTGTAAGTCCAGTTATCCAGTGAGATCCACCTGTACATCACATCATTAAATCTATTGTATGGATCCTAAAAACAGATCAACAAAAAGAAAAGTACAAGATTTACTTAGTTACAGTGTTCCTACATGAAATGTGTGATAATATCATTAGAAGAGCACTTCTCAGGCAGTCTGCAAATGTGAAATCCACCTATTTTAGTTCTAATATTCTTACTTACCCTTGAAATAATAATTAAAAGCAAAGCTTTGGTAACATTTGGCTGTAACTATATAGGTCAAATCCTATTTGTTACAATCATTTATACTGAAAATAGAGAGTGCAGAATTTGTCTTCATTTAAGAAATGCCAGGGATGAAATTAAAAAAAAAAAAAATCAAGTCAGCTTGTGACTTAATAAGGGGAACAGAAAGATAATTATCCCTATAATGATATAAAAAAGCAAGACTAACAGAACTTCAAGGAAGCAAAGAAACAGCACCTTAGGCATCTACAGATAGCCGTGAACAAACCTCTACAGTTTAAAATAATAGCAAATACTACAGCTGTTTTGTGTCAACAAGCACTCTGAAGCCTAAATAAAATTGTTTTCTTGGGAAGAAAGGAAGAAAAGAAAAAAAAAAAAGAGAGAGAGAGAAAGAGAGAAAGAAAAACAACAGAAACAGTGGAGTTGGGTTTGATGTCTCAAATTAAATGGCTACTTTTCTGAGAATAATGCCGCATATATACCACGGGTGTTCTTTACCCTTCAGTCACACTACTCAGTAGGAACAAAGGCACAGCTGGCGTAAGCTACGTGCTTGCCCTCTTTGGCTTCATGCTGTGTTATTACCTCCTCGTGGGTCACAGCGTTCCTCACCTAGGCTGAAGGAATCAATTACGCAGAGCTGACAACCCACACCTCGCACCTCATACAGAGCAGCAGAAAGGCACTGTGTTACATCCATGTCAGGCTGCTCACAGTGTAGGTATCTCCGTCGCTGACTGACAGCTCGGCTCAATCCTGCTCTGCAGCCACACAGCCCAATTGCTTTTCCAAAACAACCACCAATCTCTTCCGGACTCCATGATTCTAACCCAGCCAGAAAGGAAGAGCCTTCCAGATTTTAATCCCTCTGATAAATGTTGCTGTATATCTCACGTTCATTTTGAAACTAATAGGGTCGTGCTCTGTAATGTAGACACAAACCTATTTAAATAACAGAGCAAAACTTAGGGGTTTAAGTGACTCTCCTCAGCAGCATAATCTTTCCTCAAGTCCCACAGCAATATAAACATCACCCCTTGAGCCCATACAGAGGAAAAGTAGTAGCCTTGCCTCACTGCTGCATTCCATCAACCAAATTTCTTACCACAAAGGGAATAAGAGTCACAAAGGAAAGGTATTGTCACCTTCACAACACTTTGACCTTAGTTCTGGTGATACTCTGTATTCTCCAAAAGCTACGTCATCATGAGCTTAGCAGAACAAATAAGAATTTTAAAATATCCATACCATCATTTTGATACATAAAATGTTTAGCAAGTACATCTCAGGTTTTAATATTGGCTGCATATTACAGTGCAAAGTTCAGACTAATAAAAGAAACTCTGGTAAGGTTACTACATTCAGAGAACCAAAGGCAACCTGCAAATGTAACAGACTATAAAAATGAATGCTGTGTCCTTAAAAATACTTATTTTTAACATTTGTCTTGCTTTAACATTATATATATTTCATCTTAGGCTAAATTTTGGAAAATGCAGGTGTTAAATTTCAATCACTGACATTTGTATATGTGAAATATTTAACAAAAGACATGAGAGGCAAGTTGGAAAGGCACTACCAACAGCAGAACATAAAGCCAAACGCTGGTCAGTGGCCAAGCAACATCAGTGTCTCACTTGAAGACCAAGACCTTGCATTAAAAAAAAAGAAAAGAAAAGAAAAGAAAAAAAGCTAGAAAAGCACAGATGTTAGAGATATTAGAAAAGAAATGCCTGGAAGAACTGACATCTGGAGAACAAATCCATCTAGCAGATGAGAGAAATGTAGGAATGTTTCATCAGTGACAGAAAAGACATCATCCGATGGGCTCCTACAGAAGTGTACAAACAGCACTGCTTGTTCAAACCCACTCTGAGTTCTACAGGTCCTTTTCTGGAGGGAGATTGATTCTGTATCAGTCTGAAGTCTTCGGACTTCATGTGTTGACTGCCATAATGCATGTCATACAAGGTGCTAATGAACACTCTAACTCCTACCATTTTCCTTCAGGCCTGTGATATCCAGCCCCCAAATGGGAAGGTCATAGATCTGTATACCTTCACCTACAACTTACTGATACTGCTGCTTTACAACTGGAAAAACAGCATATCATACAGAAAAGCCACTTAATGCTAACACTAGTTAGTCATTTTAAAGCAAGACAAATATTGCTTGTAGGTTCAGCCATGTGGTGATGTTCAAGTGGTGCTTTCCAGGCAATTCTAAAGCTTCAGAGAAAATGCATGACCACAACAAAGTCCTGTAAGAAAGGAAAATGACTTCTCCAATAACTCATGAGATTACTGATGGTTTCATTACTAAATGCAGCTGCTTTCAAGTGCTGGAAGATGTATCTACAGAACTCAAACAGTTGGGATTCTACAGAACTCAAACAGCTGAAATCCCACATTAAATCAGCTCACATCAAAATTGAAGGTTCCTTTTAGAAAACTGGATTTAAAAAAAAAAAAAAAGAAGACAAATGTAAGAATCACTGGGAAAACCTGAAGAATGCTACAAAACAGACTGCACATGAATGTAATATACTTCACATTCATTCATTAGCTCAACACGTTTCTGGAAGCAAGCCATAATGGGGTGGAAACAACTACAGCTATTTTTAGTGCCATTATAACATGACTGCCTTTCATTTTCCTGTTCCCTGCAATTCTGGGGAAAAATCTGAACTACTCATACTCCCCACCTGATTGCTCTCTGCTCCAAGTTTCAGTGCTGTATGCAAGAAGCAAACAGCCTGCCAGGATGAAGCCCTGCTAAAGAGCATTAAATGGAAGCCGTCTCCAATTTAGGTAGCGGGACATTGAAGGGATCAGCAGTACAAAACTGCCAAGCGTTTTGTGTCAGCTCCTCCTTGCAATGATTTTAAGAGGATAGTTAAAGGCTACACTCATAGGAGCTAAGCACCTCTCTTGTTCAGCAGGAGACGGATGAGACATGACCACGCCTTAAGTGAGGCTCAGAGCCCAGGCAAGCACTGCCAGGCATGTAGTGGCCCCCACAGACCCAGTTCCAGCGCACCGTGCAGCCAGAGATCGAGGGGAGCACAGCAGAATACTGAAAGCCACATCCATCAGCTGCATTCAGGCAGATCAGCTTGTAAGAAAGGGAAATGTAATAAAGAGAACAAAAAACAGATTCTTCTCCTTTTGTCTGCTTTTGTTATTACCTAATTTGAAACCAACTTGCATGCTCCCCTGCTGACATTTTAGAATGTACATCATTAAGAAAATCCAGCTGACGATTACCAAAATGAAACCTTCAAGAAATGCTTCACTATTTACAGCTTAATGTTTTGCTGTTGCCAACTTCAAACTCAAACTGTTACAACATTAACCTCTATCCATGCACTCTTCCATACCACAAGCTACAGAGATTGCAGCACGCCTAGTTCCACTTATTTAGTTTGAAGTGAAGCAGAACCTAGCAGCAGTGATGAATGGATCAGATTCTTGGAACATGGGTTTTGGAAGCTCACCCAGAAGTGATCCATTTTTAATACTCGCTCCAACAAAGCAGTTGACAGAATGTCATCTTATGGTCAAGATGTTTTACAGCTGAACACTGAGCCAAATACTGTGGCAGAATACATCTGGAAGACTAATATTAGGATAACTGACAAGATGCTAATACTCACTGCTTAATATTCTCTAAACGCTCTGCTGTATTTAAAAGGCTGCTATAACTTTTATCTACTCTAACTTCATAAGTGTCCAAAAGAGAACAGCTACTGAAATGTGACTGCCCTTTAATACTCATCCTAGGCTTCACCAAGGCCTTTGGATGCTTTCACATATGTTTATACAAGTCAACAGAACACAAATGTTTCAGCAGAAAATGATCTATTTATATTAACAAGCTACTTCATTGATGACTGCCATTTAATCTGCTAGAACCATATGATAACCAACACAATCGTTATCTGACTTGCACTGAAAAATCTGAGCTATGAAAAAGTGCCAGTAAACACAGAACAAGTTTCTTCATACAAATGCACAACAAACTACAAAAATATGCACTGCTTTACAGAACTATCACTTGAGATACGTAAGCCGCTCATATATTTTAATACCCAAACAGAACCAAGACTGCTGTAACCCAGTGTCAAGTGATGCCTTCATTGTACAACAGGGCAGAACCCACAGTGATATCCAGCCCTGTGTTAGCATCGCTGTTACAGCCCCCTGCAGCAGCTCTTTACAAGTCAAAGCAATGACTAATAAAACAAAATACCCTTTCTGTATGAATGGAAATGGCTTGCAGATGAGAAAATCCAGCTACAATAGCCATATTCACCACAAGTGAAATTTTACTGGTGTCCATGTCAGCAGAAACGGCATCATGCAATACTGGGCCAGTACATGCTAGATAACTGCTGTTTCTGGTGCAAAGATATAACACAGTTTAGCTCCTTAGAGATTGTGTTTACCAGAATGTTGCCTGAAAAAAAAACACAAGGCTGACAGTGTAGTTAAAAACATCTTCAGATGAGATGGCTTCTACAAATCTTTTTCCAGAGATACAGGGATAGGAACAGATTTGCTGAAGTTTGTAAATTGTCTGCACTTACATTCCAGCTTTGCAGTGACTTTATTCAAGAGACTTGTTACCCTTGTTTATGTGCATTCGTCCCATGTTTTTTAAATTTTACACATAAACTGTAATAATGGCTACTGATTTGTAATGAAATTTAATTAAAAACCAAACTGCCAAACAAATATCCTTATGCCACCTCCTTTCCTTAGAGCTTTCATTGCAGTTAATTCAGCACTTGAACCATGCTGCTTGAATACAGGAAAAGCAATACTTTAGTAGGAAACATGGAAGCATCTTCCCCACGAGCATTTTTCCAAGATGTATATTTGTTGCATTCAAGAAGATGGGCTCATCCAATGTATATTTGGGAAGTCAAAGAGTAGCAACATCTCTAGAAGGAATTCTAAGAGGATCCAGTAGCAAGCCCTCAGTGTCAGAGATTTCTTTCTATTCTAATGTATAGCCTGCATGGCAGATTAAAGTAAAGCTAAGTGCATGAAGACAGCTAGAGCATGCCTGGGAAAAACACTTTGTTCATCAACCTAAATTTAAAATGAACTGCACAGTGACAAATAAGTTACTTGCAGCCTATTCTTGAAATCCAAGCCTCATCTGTAGGCTGAATTCAGTAGTTTATTCTTGCTGCCCCTCTTTCCCTCATTTTGAGGTACTCGCTAAGTTATGTTGCTGGAACAGACCCTCTCAAGACTCAATTCAGATTTCCAGGGTGAGTGCTAACCCATGAAAAATTAACATGGATAAAGAGGCAAAGGACATGGTGCTTTTTGCCATTTGCAAATCGCACTGGAAAACAGCAAAAAGGTTTCACTGGGTCTCTGAACGTATGGGTCTTGCTATGCAGAACAACTCACCAGCTCTGCTCTGTTTGCTAGTACAGCTTTTCAGGCCAACCTTCACTTTGATTACAAGTAGACAGCTTTGGGATTTCTGGCCTGTAGGATGAATTTAAGTCCTTCACTCCACAGCAAAGAGCAAAAGGAAGAAGACACATATCACTAAAGCTTTTGTATTTAGGCAATTACAATAAAACTCCTAATTCTAAATCTGATACAACCCCAAACCAGTCTGATTTCCAGAGATAATAATCACTGATGAAACGCAGGCTCTAAAATTCAGGCTGTACATATACTCCTCTATAAATACAAATTTAAGGGTATGATTTTAGGCAACTGCATTTAAAATGTTTGGCCATAAATATTTTCACCACAGCAAAGAAACCTCAGGACAAGCAGCTGAGCTGCACTTTGCAAAATGAAGGCAGGAGTTGCCATAAAGAATGACCTCACCGACTCCTCCAAGCAGAGCAGATTTGTTGCTCTTCAGAGCACTGCATCTACTGAGGCAGGGAATGACTACATTTCACACCACTAGTGGCAGCTTCTGAAATCTGCTAATGTTGCTCTCATGTTGCTCTCTGTTGTGTCATTTAAACAAAATGCAATTTTTAAAAAATTAGTTATTAGGTGGAATTATTTGTGCAAATGCTTCCTGTAAATCCATTCCTTTGCCATGCTAGATAGTTTTGGATTTGAATTGATCTTAAGTTGCCTGCACATGTCAGTAAGGAAAAACAACAGAACACCTCCTGAAGTACCAAAACTGCAGCCATGCAAACACACTGGTGAGCAAAGTGGTCCCCTCCTCTCCTGGGCAGAATGTGCTCACTCTACTTGCCAGAGCTTCCAGCCACAGCGGGTTCCCAGCCAGGCGTATCAGCACGTGCCCAAGCAAGTTCGTACTTGCATATGCATAAACATGTTGTGAGTGGCAACAAGCAACAGTCACTGATTTAATTAACCCACTGCCCAGCCACCCATTAGCAAGACATGTCCTGCAGCTGACTGGGCCAGCAGGCTGACTAAGCTCATATCTGTGTGCAGGCTCAGGATTCTGCACAGGCACATGAAAGTTCGTGATCACAGACTCGTTTCCAAATGCTATACTGCTGCGTAAAATGGCCAACATTACGAGTCAGCTTACAGCAATGCAGCTAAATAGCAAACACATTTTCTAACTTTGTTAGAGTACTTAATGAGTGAGTAGTTAAACGCCAGTCTTTCATTACAGCAGTAACTTGTGAGTTCGACTCAGTGCGTTGGTCACAGTTTCTCCTGAACGATTACTCATACTTATCAACGCAGTGCCTCACAGTACAGCCAAACAGCTGAGACATTCAGCTTATCATAGGAACTTTGCATGGGAGAAACCAGCACAGCCCTCATTACTGATCCTCCACGCATACCCCACTGCCCGCTGCAGTTCTTTAAAACTCGCTTTGAAAAAACATTTTAACACCTTAATTATTCAAGTTTCAAATGTCTTGTCACTTAGCACACAAGATGTTGTAACACCACAGCATAGTGGCTCACATTATTCCATCTTAGTGTGTTTTCTTTTTCAATGTTGACTATGGAACTAGAGGATCTTTAAGGTCCCTTCCAAACAAAGCCATTCTATGATTCTGCTTGCTTTATCTGGCAATGATTTTTGTTGCAATCAATTATTAGTATTGGGATCCCCAACATACACCAACACAAAACTGTGCTAAAATTATCCTGCTCAAAGTAGAGTCACTTTTTCTTTATACCTAATTTTAGTCGGAGCAGAGCAGGGTAGTAGTAAAAACCATAATTATTAAAGAATAGAAAATGCAAAGTGCAGGCATCTAGAACTGAATTTTCAAATTATCACTGTACAAGAAATGCAACACTGGGCCCATAATAAACATCACATTCAAGTATATCTGATGTACTCAGATAACAGGATAGTATTCCACATTTTCTAGTACAGCCGAATATTTCTCAGTTTTACATATTTTGTTAACCTCATAATGTCCTATCTCTTCAGTTTCACTCACATTCTATGTATTACCTTTTAAAAAAGCATCGTAAGGATGACCCAGCCTTGCTCACTGCCACGCTCCTTCTGCTGAGTCACAAGCAACCTGTGCTGTAATCAGCATAAACTTTGCCACCAATCTACAACTGCAGTTTTGATCATTTGTCCCAGGAAACGGTCACCATGTTTTTGTAAATCTAAGAACTGAAAGGGGCAGTAACAGGCAGATAAAGCAAAGCTTTGAGAAGGAACCAGCTGTTTCAATGAGATCAACTTTGTCGTGGTTCAGAATGTACTTTCCTTAGGAAGCACGGGAGTGTGCAATCTCAGCTGTTTTGATGTACTCTGCGTGTGTTAAAAGAGGTGTTTAAAGGAGTGAAACGTCTGAAATCCCTGAACTTCTCATATCAACAAGCCCAATTTCAGCAGGGCAGGCTGAGGATTCCTCCCTTTCCAGGTAACACAGCCAGTAACGATGACTTACACCCTGCGACGCTGATGTACCTCTCCGGTGTCTGCAGCTTGGTTTGGTGTCAAACGTAGAGAATCTCATGCACGTAAAGCACGAGTTTCCTTATGCTCACCCTTGGTCCCGTTTCAAACTGCTCTGTGGTGGTGACCCACCTGACACGCTGTGTGCTGCAGGCACCAAGGCTTTTGCCACTAGAGGAGCACTGCTGTATAAGCATGATCTGCAGCGCCAGATGCAGCTCCGAGGGGGGATGGTGCGTTTGGGGTGGGTGCCGGGATCCACCACGGCAGGCACCGAGGAGTCTCCTCAGACGCCGCCGCACCCTGCCGACCTCTGCCCGCCGCACGCGGCCGTACCTGGATGAGGCCTCGGCGGTGCAGGGCGGTATGCACGCAACCCGGCACCTCCCCTCGGAGCGACAGTGAGCCGTTCCCGTTGCCCAGCCGCCAGCTACCCCGCAGGCTGTGAACCTCGGGGCCGCCCGCGCCCGCCCCCCCCGCAGCCATCAGCAGCAGCAGCGGCGACAACAGCATGGCGGCGCGGTCCATGGCCGCCGCGGGAGGCCGGAGCACGACAGAAGGTGCCGCCCGCCTCACGGCTTCAGAAGCGCTGAGGCGGCGCTTCAGACCGTCACCGGCCGTTGGCAGTGGGGGCGGGACGGCCGCGCGCCTCCTCTCCCCGACCGTTAACGGCTGCTCGGGGCCGCCCGGCGGGGGGCGTTGGGGGGGGGCAAAGATGGCGGGAGGCAGCGCGGCGGATGCGGGGCAGCTCGGCCGCGTTTCGCGGTGACTTTCGTACGACTTTTCTCTCTCTTTTGGCTATAAAATGAACGAACGTCACCGTCCTAAAAGGGTACTCTGCTTCCTCATAAAGCTCAGCTTAGCACAGCTGCTGCAAGTTTTGATTGTAAAAGCTGCCTATGGAGCAGAAGTGAGAATTCCAAAGAAGCATCTAGAATATCCTCTCTAAAACCTTACACAGGCTTCCTGCAGGACCCCACGAGCTGAGACCCTTCATTCACGGCTCAAAAACAGGAATTAAAGGATGAGAAGAAGGAACAGAAAGCACACAGTGCCCTTGTTGCTTTCAGGGGACCAGCCCTGCTGCAGGGGGCCTGGATCAGTTCTGCTGTCTGATTATTGCACTGTCACACTTCTCCTGTGCCACCTCCCCCCCCCCCAGGTCCCCCTTCAGCATGTATAAAATAGACTCTGGTGGCTCTTACACTCCAATCACCACCCCTGGTGGTACCTGCTGGTGGTTGTGTTGTGCTCATTTTCCTTCGGGTCTGCTCACCTGCAAGCAGACTGTTGTGCTTTTCCTCAGGTGCAAATAATCTTATTCTCACAAAGCTTAACATAAAATCAAAAACGCTCCTTTCAGCAGCCACTCTGTGACTCCACATTACTGCTTATAGAATTCCAGGCTTTCGTTTTTTGTTGTACTTAAAATACAGTTGATTATTTGTCCCAGAAACCTACTGATGTAAGCCCAACATAGGCCACAGTTTGGTTTGAACATTTTTACTCAACTTACCGGCCTCTTGAGAACCAGACAGGCAGGCACTTTGCTAACACTCAAGTGAGAAGGTGAAATATGGTTAAAAACAGAAAACCACACAAATTGCTGTAAAGTAGTAATGCTACCACTAGCACCACATCTTTCTGTTACTGTATCATTTTTTCCTCTTTAAAACAGAAGTCAGTGTACATCCAAAGAAAGCAAAATTATACGCGGAGGTGCCTACGTGTGATTCTGCATAGAAAATGTAACCAGCCACTCCAAGAAACCTCAACTAACTGCAAGGGCCTTTTTTCTGATCTGTTTTCCCGCTTCCGTCCTCATGTTTCCTTAATGCCTATAATCACAGACTGTAAAATTAGAGGAATAAACACATAAAGCATTTTGGGATGCTAAAAGGTTAATTATTTCAACAACATACATACATAGACCAAGTCACATGAGACTAACGTGTGGCTGACACATGAGAACAGGCTGCTGCATTTGGCATGTAGCAGAGAATGTAAGTGATCACAGACAAGAATAGGAATAACCAGAGTTTTGTTGGTTTGTTCATTTGGTTTAGCTTCTGGCTTTCACATAAGTCTTTAGGAGGTTTAGAAGAATATCTTTCTGGGTCAACGTCCTTCATTACAAGTTAAGAGAAAAACACCAGCCCTCCCATACATCTACATATATGATAAAATCACAGGTGATTTTTTTCAGAGTAGAAGGGCATAGTTCTAAGAAATACTATGAAATACTGGTCTGAAGAACAGCTGACACTCGTTTTTGTCACTGAAAAACTCTCCTGCCACCTTCAAACAGGAATGGTTGGGGCCTGCTCTATTGGACAAGAGAGTCTGTGCAGGAATCTAAATATGAAAGTGGTTACTGTGCATGAATTTTTAAGACCAAGGAATTCATATTCATATGATACTGACTAATTGAAAACCAGTTCCTATTTCAGATCAGCTCCTAGTCATCTTTTAGTAAGATTAGCAAAAAAAAAAAAAAAAAAAGTCTATTGTCATGGAAAATTGAGTACCTCAGCTGGCTTAACAAGTTGCAGAATTCAGTAAAAATAAATGTCTTCTAAAAGTTCAGTCTATAAAGCCACTGCACACTGACTGTACATTCTGTTCCTGCCTTCACCTATCAATGAGAAATGCAAACAGCTTTTGGGACTATCACATGATACAGGGCATTTACCTTAAATTCACTCATATAACATCAAAAACACTTAACCACAGTGGTGCTGCTTGAGAGACCACCAAGGATATTATTTCTCAAGAAGCAGATTTACAGAGAATTGAGTTTTAATGCTACCGAAGTGCGACTGTAGGCTGTTTTTTTTTTCCTTTTTCCTTTTTTTTTTTTTTAACAAGCTTTTTCCAGCAAGTCATGTGGTAGCTTCTCAGTAAGAAGGAAACTGTGTTTCAAGATGTTTACTGTACTTCCGTGTTTTCTTAGCCTTTTATTTTTCTCCTTAAGACTCACAACTCACACACACAAAAAAATCCTGAGAACAATGCTGTCACCAAGTATTCTGAGAACATGCCGTTCCCTTGTTCAAGGCTTATAATTAAGTTAAATCATGTCTCATTTTCATGTCTCAGTTTTAGGGTGTTTTTGTTGTTGTTTCTTTGAGGGTATTTTTAAACAAATAACATTTTTGTTGTTTAAAGAAACTACAGTCTGAAAGGTTGTGTTAAACTTTTAAGACACGGTAAGGTCCTTTGTATGCTTTTCTTTCATTGTGTACAATATTCCATCTTTCTGAAATGCCATATATTTAGGTTACTACAGTTCTTACTCTTGAAGGCTGCAAGCAGATACTCTTCTATCAACTAAGACAAAATGCTGAGAGCAAAAGCCTCTCTTGTACAGTATTAGAATAAATTCAGAGCAGCTCAATTGAAGCTGCCCAAATTCTGTTGCATTCATCTCAAAAGTCTTTTGTTTCCAACTGCTATGCAATCTTTATCATCATGACAGGCTGTGGATGCTTTCTCTTTCGAATTCAAGTTCAAACAAAGGTCTTAAGCAAACAGGTTCTCACCGATTTGGCTGCAGTACTTTAAGATATTACTGCCCCCACCTGTCCACCCTGTATCATTCTTCTGCTAAAGGCTGCCACAAAGCAGTACAGGCCTTGTGTTAGCACCAAACCATGCTGGAACTTGCTGTCTTTCGATAACTATACACCACCACAGACAATTTGTCAAAGCAGCAAAACAACTGAAGGGTCATCTACTTTGGGGAGTTTTGCATTGATGCAGCAACATTGATACAGCCGTGTTGGTGAAATACTGGTGTAAAACAGGACTGGTGTTCAGATTACTGCATATCCCTTCCGATAGTGCAGCACATGTATGAAAGCTTTAACCTCTGCGTATGATGCATATTTTCTGTTTCATGACTGCCTCTACAAACATAGAACTGCTATGCAAAACAGTTACTTTCTGGGCTGGCATAAAAGCAATACAGTGCAGGGAGCTTTCCAGCTATGAATTTACAAAGGATGGACAGAAATAAACAGATTTCATTCATTTTTCTATGTTTATCTTGAACCTATTAAAAAAGGAAGCTAAAAATAAAATGAGGAAACAAATTAGCAATGTTTTTAGATGAGGATACCATCAATACATTGTACTAAAAAGACTGCACTGGGTTACTGAGAGCAAAATACAAAATGAGGATCTAAGTGGCAGGCCTGAAGTTTCTTCTATAATTATTTTCAAGTCTGTAGGTCATTGCAAGGGTATTTTGTCAGCAAATAAAACTGCTCAGCCCTAATAATCACATGCAATTCAAGGTAAGTATGTGGAAAGGAAACTACTGCTCTAGGCAAATACTGTATGGAGAAGGGAAAAAATAGGCAATAGGAATTTTTAAATTGCATATGCAGAAAGACAGCTGATACCTTGACTATGCCCTTAAACTCAATCAGGTATGCCAGTGGAGAAAGGCTGTATTTGTACCTCAGCTTAACTTCTGTTTTGAGGTGGGCTCAAATCACAGGACTTGGGTTACAAAGCCCCACTGTCTATGGTATAGACACAAAAGGCACGAGGATCTCTAAATCCAGCACGATCAGATTCCTAAAGACAGGTTCTTTAGAAGATGCAGCTCATAGCTATTGTTCTCTTTGATTTTATAAACACCTTTGAAACAGTGAGTGTATTTATAAGAGTACATAACACTGACCATTGTTATTTACTCTTTGTCTCATAAGCAGACAGGTACTGTCTCAAGACTACATGACACTAGCACAAGCTACTGTGGACTCTCAATTAGAGTTTAAAACATCTAGAATCAAAATTGACTTTCTGGCGCTTACAGGAATACAGCAGTACATATGAGGACAGCAGTACAAAACAACTTGCTTCACCTTTCTCGAAGGTCTGAAACTAGACATCTGCAACCACATCATATGATTTGTCCATAAACACCCAAAATTAAATCCCTCAAAACGTGGGTATCAGAGGTAATGAACTATTTCCCAGATGACAGAAGCTTGACAGGCTTTAGTTTTACTAAGGCAGCGTGCTTCACTTGGCACTGTCAGCTGAATGCAGGACATACCAAACATATTACACTAAGTACAAAACACATCTCCATCCTACAGTTTTAATGAATGTTTTTCTTACAGGGGAACAGTGTGAGAAAGTCAACAAAAAATTATAGCTGATAAACTGGATGAGTAAACTTAAATGGATTTGAAGTTGCCAAAGCACCTGGGAGCTGTATTTCTTTTCTAGTCACTTGAAACAAATCACTGGGGCAGGTCAGGACCTCTGTTTCTCAGTGTTTAACTGGAGGCAATGTACCTACTGCTACGGACCTCACTAGGACGCTACTCCTCCCATTCATTTCCACAAGGTCCCAGGAACGTACAAAATAACTTTTACAAAAACTTGGTACTCAAGAGTCACCTGAAATTATTATGATTGTTTTAATACCTACAAGAAATGCTAGAATTCTTAACCAATGAAGTCTATGCTGACCAAACTCAATTTCCATTTAACACAACAATAGGAACAAA